TTCGTTTCCCAGTATTATTGTAGGTTTGCAACCTTGGAAAGGACACCTCGTACATAGTATAAAGAACAGGAAAGGTAAGCTAGTCACTTTTTCTAGCATAATATAATTTGTAGGTACTTGATGATGAGATACCTACTTACTTATTTTTACTCTTATCATTCTTCATAGTTCCTACTCAACCAGAAATTTAATTACCTACTATACTTAAATATTATAAGAAAATGTGGTATTGTATTGTTTATTTCACAGTTTATCTGATTTGTTAAGAGCGTAGCCGTGTCGCATTATTCCATATAAATGTATTCCCAAATTTACTTTCTGAATACTATGTATAGAGCTAAAGTTTATTTTAAGAAGTTAATAATCATTTATAAGCTTTTTATTTTTACTAAATTTATAAATTGATAAAATATTCAATCATAATATGCTTTTCATTTCATAAATTTAGATCAAGTGCTGCTTGTTCGAAAATATTAACTAAAAGTAAAAGTGACAACCCTGGGGATCAACGCAAGAGTAGGCTAATAACTCGGCGGGCGGCCTTAGATAACCTACTGTATATATTTATACTGTGCCTCGTACAAGGGCCCCGAAATATTGTGTACCTACCCGCGTAGTCTTAGACGGCCCTGGGTGCAACCCCTGTGGGATTGTTTATTTTGTGAAATCAAGAAATTTTAAAGTGTGGGAGAGCCATGCTCGGCACGAATGGGCCAGCTCGACCGGAGTGATACCACGGCCTCACAAAAAATAGACGTGAAGCAACGCTAGCGTTGTGTTTCGTCGTGTGAGTGAGGTTACCGGAGGCGCAATTACCCTCCCCTTCCCCAATCTCCCCAATTGCTGAATCCCCAACGATTCTCAAACTCCTAATCCCCAAAAGGCCGGTAACGCACTTGTAACGCTTCTGGTGTTCCATCCAGGTGTCCAGGGGCGACGCCGATTACTTACTATCAGGTGATCCATCTGCTCGTTTACCGGCTTGTGCCATAAAAAATGAATTCATTTCACAATAAATATAACTTGGTTACTGAATCGATTCCTACGAGATTTGTTACACAGGATTGGAATTAACCTTGAAAGAAGCTAATTTAAACATTAAAATTCTGCCAGAAGTCGTTATTATACACGGACGAAGTCGCGAGGAAAAGCTTGTAAATAATAAATAGGGAAGTAAGTAGCTACACCTAATAAATGATAATTAGATAAAATACAAATTATTCAATCCGTCTGCTCGTTTGTCTGTGTCAATATCAATGTGCATTGAGTGGGAACATAGGCCATGTTCGGCTGTGGACATCTTGTGGCTAAATGATGATGATTATCATCAATGCATTTGATACATGAAGTGAGATTGAGTCTCAGGAGATACTAACTAGAAACCATCCCGTTTCTACCCCTGCTTCAAGTTTCGAGCATTCAAATGCCTTCTTATGTTGTATATATGTAATTGTTGGCAGTTATTGAAATAGAGCGCGATTACGTAAAGCACTAGAATCAGTCGGGAAGCTGACTTCGGTGACACTTGAACTTTGGGCCGGGGGTGGCGGTGGCGCGGTGACGTGGGAGGCCTGCGCTGCGCGGCTGCGCGGTGCGCGAGCGGGTGCGCGCGGCGCGGGTCGATGCGGCGGCCTCGGCTCAGTCGGCCGCCAGCCGCCAGCGCCCAGCAGCGCACCGAGCGCAGCCCCGCTCGCCGCCGCGATCCGAGCCGCGACTGTCCGAGTGTTGCGATGAAGGTATAGAAGCCCCCCATCCGTAGCGCGGTAGTGTATGCCTTAGCTGTAAGTAGCGGCGCGCAAGGCTCGGTACGTGTAAGCTAGCGGCCGGGGAGCGCCGCGCCCTGCCACCACCTCGCCGCGCGCCTCTCCCCGACACACAAGGGCTCCATCACCATGTATCCGACTCACATACATAATGTCCTCGTCACTACACTCCATTCCAATACCTACAATACGTATCTACTACTAATTAGGTACAATCAAATTAATGATCAATTTACTGCCTTGCAGTAGTCCATTGGTCGTTTCAGCGCGACTACAGAAAATGAGGTCTCAGTCTCAGGTTCGGTCCCATTTCTTTCGAAATATCTCAGTATCCACAATATTTTGTTGTAAGAAGCTACATCCATGGAGAGGTAGATACGTGACGGTAGTTCCCCTACAAATTTGAGATATTTTGGTATTTCTCTTTGACACACCCAAAATCAGTCATTTTGTAAAAAATTAGATTCATGTGATCATGTCCCTACTTCCTACACGAAGTAGATTCATGTTTGGTAAAATCATTGTAACGCAATAATGGCATGGGTAACACAGTAAGTACATAGCCTTTATGTACTACGTTATACAGTGATGTATAATTATGTCCTGCATAGATGTTCACGAGTCCTTCATACAATCACACCGCAATATATCTTACAACATTATTACGTATGCTTCAGATTTCTTTGTCACAAGCACAACTGCGGAGTACCACTTTATATTTATATTGGCACATTTATAAGTCATGGCAATTTTGTCTCCCCTTTTACTCAAAACATACCTTTATTTCTATGCCTGTCTGTACTAACTAATACTACCATTGTAACTTATAAAATACCTATTTACATACTTTAAGTTGGCATTCAAAGCAATGTCGAGTTGCATAACAAAATGTAAGGTGTGATTTATTTGTTTCAGCAACACGAAGCATCAATAACAAAATCGTATAATGCTAAAACTACCCAAAGGTCTTAAAAAGAAGAAAAAGGGAAAAAAGTCTAAACGCAAAGGTGAAGAAGAGCTTTTTACTGAAGAAGAATTAGAAAAGTATAGAAGAGAGCATCAGCAACAATGTACTGACAGTGGTGAAGGTACTACCAAAGAAAATGAAGAGTGGTCTAAATTCAAAGACTTAACTACGGGCATAGATACGGTGTTAAAAAAAACACAAGGAGACCTAGACCGCATCAAATCGACTTCATTTTTTCAACGTATTCCTCCTAAACAGGCAGAACCTGAAAAAAAGGAATGTCCAGCTAGGCCAGTGGTTGAAGTAACCGAAGCAGACTTCCCACAGCTTATTCAAGCTCAAACAGAAGCTGACGAAGATCGCAGTGAGTACGGCGTGACTGACGACGAGTCCGAAGAAGAAGAGCAGGACGACATCTTCGATACCTCGTACGTCGAAGCTGTAGAGCGTGGGGAAGTGAAACTCGGGTACGTGCCTGACTCACCAGAAGAATATCAGGATGACGACATCTTTGATACATCTCACGTCGATGCTTTAATAAAGGGACAAGAAGTCAAAACCTCTAAAGGAAAAAAGTCGTTAGATATCGGAATAGCTGTTGGGGTTCTTACTGGCAGAATAGACAATGTAACGGTTACTAGTAAACGATCTAAGAGAGTTATTCCTGGTGATTTATTATTAGATACTACTGACGCAAATGATGAGAGACCCGCTGAAACAATAACTGTAGACGAGCCCATTGAGAAAAGTATATTGGACCTCGATGCAGACATCCCTATAACGACACCCATAGACTTAAGCGTATCACTTCATACGTCTTTGATTCAACAAACGAAAGGTGACACAGAAAAGGCGCCTGTGAAAGACTTTTTTTCTGCTGATCAACCACCGGCCGATGAAGAATTTGATGAGTTTACATTACTTGCAGCAAAATCACTTGAAGTCAACTCGGAAGTAACAAAATTAGGAGAAACTGAAATAAAGGCGGAACCCGTCTTACAGGAGTCATGGTCAGCTTTTGAAGCAGATAAAAATGAATTTGTGTTTGCAGAGAGTATCATTGAAGATCAGATAGATGTGCTTGATCCGTACTTAGATCAAGACGATCCGTTTGATACTAGTTTTGCGGACGCTGTAATACCTGTGAATCAGTTTCAAGCTAAGAAAGAAGCAGTAATTCTTGAGGACGACGACGATTTTGATCCACGCTCTGAAGAAGTTCGAGTAAAATTAAATAATAGGCGTAAATCTTCAGTACGTATTCATTTAACAGATCCCTCAGGTATTCGGGAATCTATTACGTCTGACGATATTATTGACAAAGAAGATAATCATACAGTCCGGGATTTGTTGGGAGGAAGTACTACAGATTTAACTCAGCTGGGAGACTCACCTCTGGATCCAGTGGATATCAATAACTGTGAGATCGACCCATTTGATACTACTATTGTTGATAGCATTGTTGCTCCTGGTAAGGTAGAGTTAAAGCTTTTAGAACAAGAATTAATAACTTCTAGTTCTTCTACAATATATAGAGTGCCAAGTGATCCCGATTTTGATCCTAGGGCGGACGAACCAAAAAAAGCAGAGCGTCGAGCTTCTCGTCCTGAGAACTTGACAGTTAGTAAGAGTGTTGTGTTCAACGTTGACTCAGACGAAACGTTAGGCGTCGACACAAAAGTAAAGTCGAATAAACCTGTCACACCTTACTATACTCGGGAACTTTCAATCACTGAAGACGCCAGCGAAGAAGCGGAAGCAGCTGACAGTGTACCTGATACGTTGACACGCACACGGTCTGACGAAGACTTGGCACCGAAAGTTAACTATCAAAATAAAAGAAGACATTCAGAATATTCTCGGACAAGTGACATAAAGGCTAGTGATCTATTACATGGTGCTCAGGTTGAAGTTAAAGCGAAAGTACTAACACCGTCGGAGCCACTTCAGCCTGCGACGATAATTGATCCTTTCGATACTTCTTTTGCCAGCAATATCGTTCCTTGTAAAACTGAATTAAAACTATTAGCCAAAGAGTTTTCTTGTGAAGAGACCGATAGCTCACAAGACAACAAGCACGATTTATTAGATCCATCTGACGACATATTTCAAGCAAAAGCTCTAACTCCAGAACCTTCGAGCTCTAAATTGATAGATACAAATTTCGACCCATTTGATACATCTTTTGCTGGTGACCTGAATCCAGGCAAGACGGAAATAAAACTTTTAGAATCAGAGTTTTTGGATAATTAAATATATTACTAATAAAAATGGCTTACAATCCATTCTTAAGTATGAACGAGCCGAGCGCTCCCGCCACTACGGATGTTCTTAATCCCTTTATGATTGCCGATGCGGAACCTGAGGCAATTACTTGTGAAAATCCTTTCGCTACTAGTAATCCTTTTTCTGATTTCGGCAGCGAATACGAACCACCGGCAGGAGATACTGTACCTGTGGATATTTTTAGCGGTATAGAACCGACTGGCATTGGAGCCAAACAATATGAAGAATTTTCTGAACAAAAATCTACACCACTGGACATATTCACAACCAGTCCAGTGGATCAAGACCGATTAGTCAAACCAACTGAACTCGATTTAGTGACTGCTTCGCTCGACCATCCATTTTCAAACGAAGAAGAAGATCAAAGTCATCATTTGCCAGCCCGACCTTTACCACCTGAAACACAAAATTTAATCTTAACTGTAACTGGGCAAATGGAATTTACAAGTTCACATCTGCTAGACCGCATCCCCCCTACACGCACTCCGAGCCCTGTGTCTGTGCGAGACATTCATTCACCTAGCCCTACGCCGGAGCCGGAGCATGTTGAAGAGCCACTAAGCGACAACTTCGATATCAACCGCAACAAACCGACCCGGCCACCACCGGCCCGGCCGCCGCCAGCGACCCGCCCGCCACCACCGCGGCCTCAGCCGCCACGCCCGCCCCCGGCAGCACCGTTAACTCAACCAGCAGCACCACCACCCACGCAACATTCAGATGATATTAATCTATTCGATGCACCCATGCCTGCCTCGATCAAACCTACTAAGGAGGCTATTTTAAGCTTATACACAGCACCTAAAAAAGAAGAAAAACCCATAGATTTCTTAAGCGATGATTTATTAGACGACGTCACTGCTAATGTAAAATACGACATTTCACAACATCTTCCAGGAGAAGTAGCCACGTCTGTCGGTACTGTTGCCGGGCCAACCAGTTTCGAACCAGAGGAACCCAAATCAGTTAGTGTGACAGCAAATAATGTGTTTTCAACAACAGTAGACTCCATAGCTGACACAGTGGCACCTATGGATTGTTCGGAGCCGCAGATAGAGGACGCCACTGCGACATGTAACACTTCTCCATTTGGTGACGTTTTGAAAGACGACTTCTCAGCGCAACCGGCTAGCATAGATGTTGAACGAAATCCTTTTGAGAATCCCGTCGATTCTGTGGACGTGGCAGCCCAGTTACCTGAAGATATATTTGGCGTGACGCCAACTGATATTGTAATGACGAGTAGTAACGATATTTTTACTAACACTAAAGATAATATTTTTGAGATTTCATCCATAAATGGGACAGGTGAAGCCCCCAGTGATCCATTCAATTCGGCTCCAAAGGAAACTACAAATGCTGCTTCACACTCATCTCTACCACTGGACAGACAGGCGGAAAGTGGGTTCGACGTTAGTGGTCTATCGCCTTCAGCCACTGCTGATTGGGGTGCACCGACAGAAATAACTATGCAGGATGCTTTTCCCAGTAGCCAAGATGCGTTTGACGCATTTTCAGCGAAGTTTGACGCCACTGCAGCTAATAACTTGAATTCAGGTGAGTAGCTAAGTAGCAATGCGACAGTGACTTGGCCAGCAGTTTGCCTAATAAGAATGTCATACAGGAGCTTGGGGTGACGACAGCAGCGCGGAGATGGCGCCGAGCGGGTTCGAAGCGGAGGCCTTCGACCCGTTCCTCAGCATGGGGGCGCCGCCGCCGCCGGCCGCCACGCCGCGCCTCGACCACCAGCCCTCTCGTGACTCCGTGGACGATACCTTCTCAGTCTTCATCAGGTTAGTCATTGAGCCAATGTTTTGCACATTGACAATGACCCAATGTGCTAGGCTGGCACAGATTGAGTCAGAAAGCTGTTAGTATTAAGTCAATATATATTTATACAACTGTAGAGGTAGTATACAGAGTCACAAAAAATGTACAAAATTTCCATCACCTGACTGATCTGATGTCCGCTCTGTTCAAAGGGCTATGTTACAAGCCGTTAATTATCTAGTTGGACGTTGAAAAACGTTTATCAATCAACGTTTAGCCTAGTCGTACAATTAAACGTAGTCATTGAATCATATACATGTATACAGGATAAAGTAAAATGACTGCACGGTTGGTGCGGTGGCTGGGCAACCGGCTGCCGTGCAACGTGTCGCGGGTTCGATTCCCGCACGGAACAACACTTTGTGTGATCCACAAATTGTTGTTTCGGGTCTGGGTGTCATGTCTATGTGAACTAGTATGTTTGTAAACGCACCCACGACACAGGAGAAAATCCTAATGTGGGGCAACGTTTTTATTAAAAAAAAAAAAAAAGTATTTTAAGTATAGCTACTAAAATAAAAAAAGCATAACCAGCCGATGAATAAATATCGTAAGATCAGACTAACAAGTGCCGTGTCTGCCTGCTGGCAGACACGGCACGGCGATTGTATGATCGTATCGTCGGTTTACCAAGTACCGGTGGTCGGGTGGTAGTAATAAGTAAGATGTACGCGGCAGGCCGAAGGACAGCGAGTCGGGCGGCGGCGGCGGGGCGGAGGGCGCTGGCGCCGTGCCTGTGCTGGCGCCGCCGCCGCGCCCGCAGGCGCTGCCCGAGTCACCGCGCGCCAACCCCTTCGACAAGAGTGGTTTCGAAGAGCGCCGAGACCCAGTTTACGGTACGAATCTATTACCAGTTGTTCTATTCTTTGTACAAAGCACGAGGCATCTCATTATAGGAATATTGACTATGAAATATTAAGTATAGGTATAAATATTTACTACCTAGGCCTAGAGTTACTAGCACACCTAATTATGTTTAACTGCTCATGTAACCGTTGGACCAGGGACTCGAATAGTTACGAGCCACGCTAGGGGCTCCCATTCATGAACAGCATTGCGCGACACGACACCACAATCGCGACGCGAAGTACCTCGCGTCACCTTTAATTTTTGGGATAAGTCGGTAAACGAGTAAACTGGGCGCTTACTCTTGAAACCAATCTCAATGTCAATGCAATTTCAATCCAACAAAATCTCAATAATTATTCAATGTCAAAACTATACAACCCTTATCGTAGCTGTTAAAATAGCATTCAGGGTACGGAATATAAAGCCAAACTTAATACCATTTAGTTCATTTAATATCCATGCAATACGGATGCAATGGGCGCTAGTGTTGCATCTCGAGAGTACGAAATTTCACAATACCAATGTCGATCGATCGGAATTGGATTCAAGAGTAAGGCCCCTGATCACCTGATGATAAGCAATCGGCGTCGCCCATGGACACCTGGAACACCAGAGGCGTTGCTTAAGAAGTGTGTTACCGGCCTTTTGAGGATTAGTAATTTGAGGATTGTTGGTTTTTGGGCCTCCGGTAACTTCACTCACACAGTCACACGACGAAACGCAACACAAGCGTTGTTTCACGTCGGTTTTCTGTGAGGCCTTGGTCAGTATCACTCCGGTCGAGCCGGTCCATTCATGCCGAAGCATGGCTCTCTCACACTTCACATCACATCGTCTATATGTGGCGCCTAAAAGTGCCCACTGCTGACCAAAGGCCTCTTCTCACACGGAGAAGGAATGGGCATTCATCACCACGCTTGTTCAATGCGAGTAGGCAATTTCAAACTGATAAATTATAAATTATAAGCCCAGGTTTCCTCACGATGTTTTCGTTCACCGTTTGTCAGTGGTGTCTAAATAATCTTACGAAGTACATATAACTCGGAAAAAGTCACATTGGTACTTGCCGTTGGTAGGTTTCGAAACCGCACTCTAATCATGAGAAGCGAGCGTCTTAAACCTCCGGCCCATTGCTACTCCCAAACTTACATCGTTGTATGTAATACAAACATAGTAATTAAGTATGTATTCATATTCTGTGCCCCATACTACTACAGTTTATGCTGTGATACTTACTACTAATAAATATAAATGGAACGCAACTAACACTTCCTTTTATTGTATAATTTGCAAGTAAGCTGGAGTAGGTACATATACATCTTTATCCTTACTATCCTTACTAATAATATTATAAATCGGAAACGCCGTAACTACTAAACCGATTGCTTTGAATTTTTGCAGACGTAAAGTTTGAAGTCCGGATTAAATAATAGGGTACTTTTTAACCCGGAAAAATTTAAAATTCCCGAGGGAAAACAAAAATATTGGTATAGATGGCGCTGTGTGTATTGGTATATGTCACATAGGCTACTTTTTATCCTTTTGTGATGCGAGCGAAGCCGCGGGTAAAAGCTAGTATAATATAACCCTTGCCGGATTACCGCCGTGGGATCTGGAGGCGAAGGTGCTCGCGCGCGTGTATCACATGCGCGCGGAGGCACGTCGCCGGGGCGAAACTCCGCTGCCGCGCCAGATAAGTGCGTGGCGGGATGAGCTCCGGCGCGATCTCATGGCGGAATGGCAGCAACGACTGTCGCAACCGAGGGCTGGGCTCGCTGCCATTGCAGCGGTAAGACCCCTCTTTGAGGAGTGGCTTGAGAGACGCTACGGCGTCCTCACCTACCGCCTGACGCAGGTCCTCACCGGACATGGAAGTTTCGGGAAGTACCTGTGTCTGATGGGGCGGGAGGAAACGCCCGGGTGTCATCACTGCGAGGACCGCCCTGAGGACACGGTGGAACACACAGTGGGAGAATGCCCTGCGTGGGCTGAGCACCGCCGTGCCCTCAGGGAAGTGATCGGCGATGGCGACCTCTCGCGTCCGGGCCTAGTGCAGGCCATGATGCGGAGTGAGGGGGACTGGGATGCCGTCTCCTCCTTTTGCGAAGCAGTCATGCTAGCTAAGGAGGAGGCGGGACGCGTGAGGCAGCGAAGCGCTGCCTCCTCGCAACCCAGCCATCGCGAAGGACACACCGGGCGTCGGGGATCGCGGGACGATCTCCGGCCACCGTAAGCGCGGGCCTGCGGACGGCGAGCATGGGTGGCTCCCCGTCCGACCAGAAACAGACCCGAGCGTACGGCGCGTCGCGTTCCGCGCGCGCCTCAAAGAGCCATCAGACCACCACAGATGGGGCCCAATAGGGCCGATGCCGATTCGGAGTCGCGGAGAACCTAACGGGTAACCGGGGCTCCGGCTCGACGTGCAGGTGAAGGAACGGGGTGGTTTTTAGTCAGTAAGAGTCTGACACTCCCTTCCGCCTCACCCAGGCGGGAGAAGTCATTCGATGATTTTCCCCCCTTAAAAAAAAAAAAAAAGTATAATATAACGGGCAATGCTATGTATTGTGTTTGCAGAGCGAGGTGAGGGCGAGGCGGGCAGCGAGGGGGAGGGCGAGGGCCCGCCCACGCCACTGTTTGACGAGGACGTGTCGCAGCCGCTGGAGGACTTCCCGCGCACCAAGTATACAGGCCCCGGCTGGGAGATGCACTTGAGACAACCCAATAAAAAGAAAATTACAGGACAGAGGTTAGCGCCTCATTGTATATGTACCTCTATATACAATGGTGGTTTATACAGGATTTTTACAGAAATATCTGGCTTGCGCTTGAGTCGACTTCTTGGTCCTTGGACATTAAACTACAAACTGCAAACACAAACATAGGTGTCTATATGTGTGTGTGCGCGCCTGTACCTACTGGTTTGTATTCGCTACTCTCCAATACCGATGGCAGCCAAACAGTGGCGAACACAAACGCAGATTAAAGGCTGTTCGGCAAACAGTTAGCAATGCGCGGTGCGTAGCAGGAGTGCAGGAGTCACTCGAGTAAGTGACTAGTGAGGCGGCTACCTAACTGCTTCCATTGTAAATTATATGATCTTATGTATATTTAGTGAGGTTCACAGCGCCGAGCACTGGGCGCTGCTGACGTACAGGTAGTCGGTGGAGTTTGCTTAGAAGAAGGTGCTTCAATACAACAACTAGCATTCATCAGATAACCACCTCAAACCGACTCTCGGATCCCATTTACTGTGAAATGTAGTATTATAATGTTGTGAGGGATGGTGCATGGCGGTGCAGGTTCTGGAAGAAGATCTTCGTGCGCGTGGCGCTGGTGGGCGACAACCCGGTGGTGCAGCTGTACAACGCCGCGACGGACAAGGAACCCTTCCAGGAGTTGCCGCTGCAGGCCTGCTACTCCGTGTCTGACATCGGCGCGCAGCAGTTCGACCAGTTCGGCAAGATCTTTACTGTCAAGTTGCAGTACGTCTTCTATAAAGAGAGACCTGGCGTCAGGTACCTGTTGTCTTTGTTATTTTTATGTTTTCTGTTACTTACTGCTCATACCGAAGTCATGCATATATTCTATGGTTCTGTCTGATTTATAAGTCCGTCGTCACATGTTAAAGTAGTACGTATTACGTAATGTGATGCGGCAGGCCGGGCCAGGTGACGAAGGCGGAGCGCATCACGAACAAGTTGTCGCAGTTCGCGGCGTACGCCATCCAGGGCGACTACCAGGGAGTCAAGGAGTTCGGCAGCGACCTGCGCAAACTGGGCCTGCCCGTCGAACACGCGCCGCAGGTCACTCCACTCTCTTATACCTATATCAACATACCTACGTACATAATGTCAAGTAAAAATGTCAGTCACGTTCAATTGAAAACCTCCTCCTCTTTGAATAAGAATAATATTAATTTCAAAAAAATTGTATCCTGGACCTTACGCTAGGATTCCGTATGTCGTGAGGCCCAGACTACTTAACAAACAGTACAAAAAACATAATGCTTACTTGAAATCAATATAAATTATTAAGTACCTATTTTTAGTAGGTATAAATCAAAGACATTATATATTTCATTATATATATATATATATATATTTCTGTGGTATTAATTTTGTTAAAGATTTTAACTATCAGTAGCATCAGTTTTCTTTTACTTTTTACCTTTTTAGAAGGCTCGAGCACCGTATCTTGTCCAATTATCCATGTAAGTAGTACTCTGGAGAATGCAGTGAGGGCACAACAATAACAATGTTGGTGTGCGCAGGTGTCGCAGCTGTTTAAGATCGGCTCCCTGACGTACGAGGACGTGAAGCAGTTCAGTTGTTGCGTGGAGGAGGCACTGTTCCGGCTGGCCGCGCACAGAGACCGCGCGCTCACCTACAAGATGGAGGAGGTACTGTCCGTGTGTCCATACCGTCCCGTCGTGCACTGCGCGTACTGACCGCGTGTGACGCTGCAGGTGCAGGTCACGGCGGTGGACGAGCTGTACGTCGAGCAGGACGCGGAGGGCTCCGTGCTGAAGCAGATTGCGAGAGTGCGACTGTTCTTCCTCGGCTTCCTCAGCGGTGTGTACTGTGTTCTGGCAGGCATGTGCTATGTACTGTGCAACAGACAATGTATTGTTTATTATTACGTTGCAGGCATGCCGGACGTGGAGCTCGGGGTCAACGACCTGCGGCGGCAGGGCAAGGAGGTGGTGGGGCGGCACGACATCATCCCCGTCGTCACGGAGGAGTGGATCCGGGTTGAGGACGCTGAGTTCCACGCCTGCGTGCAGCCCGAGGAATTCACCAATACGCAGATTATCAAGTAACACCATTACTTCTCTTAATTTTAATGTAATTCTAATTTAAAAAATAAATGAAAGATTACATAAGTGACAAAACGGATCTATGTAGCGTTACACTGAAAATGATAAAATAATAAAATAAAAACTACGTTAAAAAAACCAAAAACTAATAACAAACAAAAAGTCAAAACTAAAAACAATGATGTATTAATTTGAATGTCATTGACGGTACTGGAAAAAAATTGTACTGTACTTGACTTACTTATTTCACCAAAATTGCCGCATTTATGTGAATTCTAAAATGATATATCCCTACATTATTGCTTACATTCTACATAAAAAAAAAACATTTTTTCAACGAAACTCCGTTTCAACAATTTGTTTGGAATTATTAACTTACCTACTGGAATTTATTCTAGTGTAGCCAAAGCGCCCCTAAAAACCTCGTATTCTGGATTATGGATCACATGTCACTAAAGAACATATGATGTTCAACACCATGTTGCATGGTAACGTGTAGGTAGTACTCCCGATTCACCGATTTCATAAAATAAAACTAAGAACTGCTGTGAACAAGACTTTTTATTAATGAAAAGCGCACTCGATCCGCCATCCGGTATACGTCAAAGCAATAGACATTAGACAGCTAGGCAGACCGACGACAGGTCCAGCAGTGTGACAGTGGGTCCAAGTGTGTGGTGTGGTGCAGGTTCAAGCCCCCGGACGCGTGCTACATCGAGTTGATGCGGTTCCGCGTGCGGCCGCCCAAGAACCGCGAGCTGCCGCTGCAGCTCAAGGCCGTCTGGTGCGTCACCGGGAACAAGGTACGTACTCGCACCACTCGCACCACTCGCACCACTCTGGGCGACACCACTACATATACCTAAAATATGTTATATGAATTTAATAGTTGGGTTCGTTTTGGATACGTCGAAAATAATAATTAAAGAAAATATAATTTCTTTACATAAATATACCTAAAAAATGTTGGGTACAAAAGATATTGCCGCGATTTATTCCTGTCATTTGTACTTGTAAGGTTTTTTAATATCTTTATTTGTTTAGATGCTTTTCCCTTGCAAAGGTATGTCAGCAGGCTTCATCATACTCTAATCTAACTTATAACTAGTTACATGTAATTATATTTATTACTAACTTAATTTACTTATTATTGTATAACCGCGGGCGCGTGGATAGTGCTGCTGCATCCACTTCATTAATAGATTCCGCTTCTTTTGAATTTGGTAAAGATAATATTCTAATGAAAGTCCCGACATCATATCTTTTAACTTGTATTTCTCGCATCACTATCCTTCTCTCTCTCTCTCTTTTCTGTTTTTTTGGCAACCTGTAAGGACTGTCATGCAGGACCGAGCGTGTCAGCGTGTGTAAGTAACGGTTCCGTTGTCGTGTACCACTGGGCAGGTGGAGCTCCGCGCGGACGTGCTGGTCCCCGGGTTCGCGTCCCGCAAGCTGGGCCAGGTGCCGTGCGAGGACGTGGCCGTGCGCTTCCCCATCCCCGACTGCTGGATCTACCTGTTCCGCGTCGAGAAACACTTCCGATACGGTTCCGTCAAGTCTGCGCACAGGTACCTCGTACCTGTTACACTACCACGCTTATTATTCGTTTTTTTATTTATCTGAATGCCTTAGATCTTCCTTGTCCTGCTGTGACTGATTGATTGACGTACTAAGTACTACTAAAAGGATTTTGCGACATTCAAATAGGTATGATATCGTACAATATTTATATTTTATTAAAACTTAATGCACAACCATGGTAACACCAACACCTATCATCATAAGGTACTTATTTATGAGTGTATTACAATAAGCAACTTAAAGCCAATTTATTATAGATCACTCAAATAGAAAAAGTGACAGACAACTTAGGATCTATTCAACAATGACTTACTTACTTTTTACAATTACTTTTTACCGTAAAACATGTTTATTAATAATTAGTAGATACTTATTATACATGAAATACTTACTTATTAGAACAAATATAAAATTCAGGCCCTTTTCGACCCCCCGTAGTTTGAATATGAAATGAAATCTTTCTTGGTTGTGTCTTTATGTTAATGGTCCATTTGTCGAGGAAAGCTATCGGCTAAAATGTACACGCTACGATCGAACCGAGCCGTGGCGCGTGGGTCAGACCGTGTCATGTGGCGGCCACATCGCGCAGTTGGTTGGTGCAGCAAGTACTCCACCGTGCTGTACGCCGTCTACTCTACCGAGTACCGAGTACAGACACAGCCGGGGAGTGGGAGAGACAGTTTATTATTCCAAAATAGTATCATATTTCTTCAGTTAGGAAGTCAGCTAGGTTCTGAGTTTCAAGTCATTCGATCGACAGGCGAACGGGCAAGATAAAAGGCATCGAACGGTTCTTGGGAGCCGTGGACACCTTGCAGGAATCTCTCATCGAGGTCACCTCCGGCCAGGCCAAGTACGAGCACCAGCACCGCGCCATCGTCTGGCGCATGCCGCGGCTCCCCAAGGAGGGGCAGGGTGAGTACTCGCTGTACTACTGCTAAGCTATTTATTCTGTACAATGTCAATTCGAAGTTTAGAAGTGAGCTCGATCGCATTCTTGCCCGTCACTGGTCTAGATTATTCTCACAACTGACATGGCGGATCACGATCGAGTTCACTTCGATCTTTCGAATTGAAAGTTCCATAATAGCCTAGCTGAGCCAGTGACAGCCGTGTGGCTTGTACAGGGGCCTACACCACGCACAACTTGGTGTGTCGCATGGCGCTGACGTCGTACGACCAGGTGCCGGCCGAGCTGGCCAGCCACGCCTTCGTGGAGTTCACCATGCCCGCCACGCAGGTGTCGCACATGACGGTGCGCTCCGTGTCGCTGCAGGACCACGACGGGGACCCGCCCGAGAAATACGTGCGCTACCTGGCGCGCCACGAGTACATGTGAGTACTCGTGCTCAGGTCTACACCTGTGTCGAGACGTGCGAGTGCATGAGTGGCGCGTGTTGCAGAGTGGGCATCGAGCGCACGTCGGGGCAGGCGGCGCCGGCGTACGCGCTGGCGACGGCGGGCCGCCACGCCGAGCCCGCGCCGCCGCCCGCCGCCGCGCCGCTGCCGCAGCCGCCGTCCTCCGACTCCGACTCCGACTAGGGCGCCTCGTGAGACGCTCGCCCTCCCGCTCACCTAGGACACCTGGGACCCGACGAAACATATAGGACTATACCAGGACTCTCCTGAGTAGAGTGCTCCTGGTAATTGCTCACAAAGGAGCGACAGATTGCTAAATATATTTGTACAAGAGAGATGTATTCTCCCTCTTCGTGCATCCTTTGTAAGAAAGCGTGGAATTATACTTTAGAGCAGTTGGCGGTGCCATGTGTGTATGTGCTGTATCACCGAGATACAGTCAACCGCCGCGTAGCCTGACTTGATCTTAAATGTTAAGTACCTATGTTATATGTGTAAGCAGCGTTACATTTAATTAACCATTTCATCGTACATTCCAAATAATCATTTTCTCGATGTATAGCCAGTACTTATAATATCTATTTGCCGACGGGTAGCCGCAGTAGGTTAGGGTGAACTCTGACTACTGAGCAACTACTGAGCAGTGGGCCGCCCTACTGAGACGGACGGCCGACAGCTCGGTATATCATGTTCCATATCTATTGTCTATTGTATGTACATAATGTGATAAAGGTCGTAAACGACTGCGGACGAAACCCCACCGTCGTTGTGTAAGTAGACGTAGGGCGGCCGCCGCCGGGCCGGTGTCGGCCGGTGTCGGCCGGTGTCGCGCCGGTGTCGCGCCGTGTGTTTACATATGTAAGCAATATTATAATGTTGAGTGCGCGCGTGTTGCACACCGCGTGAGTATTTTGGTTAGCCTTGTAACAACATGTAACCGTCGATGTTGCATTACTTTGCGTAACAACATGTACCCGCACACAGCGACAGCGACAGTCGCCGACTGTACATACGATGTTGCGGTACTTCTACTTAGTGGTGAGATTTACTTTGCGAGTGTACGAGTGTACTCACACATAGACAGTGTAGTTAGCTGTTGTGCTGTTAGATTGTATAATAAATATATTGTTGCGATCTCCTGTGTAGCCTCACCGTTAGACTAACTGACTACAGACACAATAATTAATGATATTGTAGCCACACTATTTAGAGGGCATTGTAAAGATACAAATGATTATTTATGTATTTAACTATTTACTCCTAAATGCTAGTCGCGTTACACACAAATATAATAATATGATATACTGTTATATGATATACAACTTACTTAACGTGTTGTAGGCGCTGTTTGACATCTGTTGTAAGTATATTAGTACCTGTCGACCTACATCGCAGACCCTATGTTCTGTTGTGAATAAAATAAAATAACATGAATACGTGTGTACAGTTTATTACAAAATTCACCCCCCAAGCACAGGCGGCAAGCACTCGGCGCCAGCGACATGTGGCAGTCCGACTGCGACTGCACAGTGGTACAGAGGTACAGTCTCACTGGTAGCCGGGCATTAGCCGCCGGTGCAATGTTATAATAGTGGACATAATGCCGGGTAAACCCGTACGCTGCTACGATGCTATAAATAATGTAGTAGTGTATTGCCATACGGCTTAAATTATTACTTAACTCCACGGATGGTGCGTTGGCTGGGAAACCGGCTGCCGCGCAACTTATAGCGTATTTCATTTCTGCACCGAGCTACAACCAAGCAAGTCTGTGTGATCTACAAAAATTGTGTACTTCGTTTTGTACAATTGTAATTTGGCTACGACTTGTGGCTTGTGGCTGACTTGTGGCTGTGAATTTCTTTTATAAATTGCTAAATATATAATAATACCAAAATTAAGTCAAGAGTGATTACTCAATAGTACATTTTTATGGGACAGAGAGACAAACGCGCGACCGTTCACCTGATGGCTAGCAATCCCGTAACACTAGGGATTACGATTAGATTACGAAACAATCGACACATTCACTAAGACACGGGCAGCGAGGTAGTCCGCACTATCCAGCTGGCGGCAGTAGAGCAAACAGTAAAGTCCACTCACACACTACTCTACCCACACCAAGTACTAACTACCAGGTTCAGTAGAGTAATACCTGTTTACACCAAGCTTAACTAATTTTTTTTTGTGGTATAAGCCGGTAAGCGGGCAGACGGATCACCTGATGGGAAGTAATCGGCGTTGCCCCATGGACACCCGCAACACCAGAGGCGTTACAAGTGCGTTACCGGCCTTTTGGGATTAGGAATTTGAGGATTGTTGGGTATTCAGGGATTGGGAAAAGGGGGGGAGGGGTAATTGGGCCACCAGTAACCTCACTACTCACACGACGAAACACAACGCAGGCGTTGTTTCACGTCGGTCTTCTGTTAGGCCGTAGTATCACTCCGGTCGAGCCGGCCCATTCATGCCGCAGCATGACTCTCCCACACTTCAAAAGGAACCCATTTAAGCTGCGATAGGTGACATTACACTTAACAGTACACAGATAGGTAAGGGGATAGTTAAGGAGCGCACTCGCGCTAACGTTTGGGGGTGCTCCGTGCTTGATGAAAACGATGGCCGTGGCGTATCGATACGCGTATTTTTATTATTTTGTACAAAACAATTTTGATTAAAGTCAAAGTTTGTCTGTCTGTTTGTACTGGCTAATTTCTGGCTGGACCGATTGTGTCAAATTAGCTAAAAAGAGAAAATGCACTTTTTGGCTTAACTACTGACCCTATTTCGCTCATTTTTCGTACATTGTCAGTCAACATGATAACAAATACGTGGTTTAAATTAAGTCATAATTGTGTATTTGCCCCATATGTATCTCGTACCCGACCTACAGAGTGAATTGTAATTAGAGCACAATCTTGTATGGGGTTGCCAACTACAACTAGGGTTGCACACTTCTTTTAGATGAAGAGTATATTTGATTATGAAGGAGGTAAATAAAGAGTATGGACATACAAAAAGAGTATTATTCATTTTGTGCTTTTAAAAAGCTATTTTTCGTACTTTTTACAGTATGTTATTGCACGATGTCTATACCAAATGTAAATTGGTTCGTTCCTGCAGCTGTAGCCAAATGCCACTTAGCGCTTGTCTACATGTAGAATAGAAAACCAAATTGACGGAATGGAATTGACGTAAATTTTGACACTTGTCAGTGTCATCCCCAGATTTAGTTTTCTACTCTCTCTGTAGACAAGCGCTAAAGTGGCGTTTGGCTAAAGGCACAGTACTTTTCATAACAGTGGTATTGTGTCAAAAATTGTAAAATTAAATTAAATTAAATAGCTAGCTAATTAAATAGGTACTATCTATAATGACATGTGTGTTTCGAGACGTTATTTTAAGTCAAAATTAAAATGGTGTCAAAACAATCAGCAACAAATTAGAATGGACATTGTCGCTGAACACCATAAAAATAAGAAATTCAATAAGTTTTGGAAATTGAGTAACCAATCAAATCCTAGACCTAGCCTTCCCGTGAGCGTAGCTGGTACCCATGACCCAAGTGATATTGCAAATGTTTTTCGGCATCATTTTAAAGTACAATCGCCTCTGGGGCCAGCCTCGTCAACGTTGCTCGATGCTGGGGGTCTTGCATCGGAGCTGAGTGTTAGATTTGCCGCAAGTGAAGTGGCTTTGGTAATAAAGAAAATGGTGAGCGGAAAGTCTCCGGGGCATGACAGCCTCAGCATCGAGCATCTGAGGTATGCTGGAGTTCACCTTCCGAGAGTACTGTCGTTATTTTTCAATATATGCTTGTCTCATTCCTATTTGCCTGAGAAAATGATGCATACCATCGTAGTCCCTGTTATTAAAAATAAAACAGGGGACTCTTCAGATGTCACAAATTATAGGCCGATCTCTCTGGCTACCACTATAGCTAAGGTACTGGACGGTCTGATTGAGCGACACTTGGAGTCACACCTGAACTTGGATGATGCACAGTTTGGATTTAGGTCTGGACTCTCAACCGAGAGTGCTATTCTGTCGCTCAAGCAGACGGTCCACTATTACACAGCTAGAAAAACTCCTGTCTATGCCTGCTTTTTAGACTTGTCAAAAGCTTTTGACCTTGTATCTTATGACAAACTATGGAATAAACTACAGGATACTAGTGTACCCGGGGAGATCGTTGCTATGCTAAGGCATTGGTACAGTGCACAGAAAAATCAGGTAAGATGGGCTGGTACTCTCTCGGAAGAGTACAAACTGGAGTGCGGAGTGAGACAAGGGGGACTCTCCTCCCCTCTTCTTTTTAACTTTTACATGAACGAGCTGATTGGGGGGCTCAGAAGCGCCAGAATCGGCTGTCATATAGATAGTGTATGTATAAACAATATAAGCTATGCTGACGATATGGTGCTCCTGAGCCCCTCCATCTGTGCGTTGAGGGAGCTCATAAAGATTTGTGAGACTTACGCAAACACCCATGGCCTTAAGTACAACTCAACTAAATCTGAGCTCATGGTATTTAAATCGGGTACTAAACACTATGATAATGTACCTAATATAGTCCTGAACGGTACCCCGTTAAAAAGAGTTTCTAAATTCAAGTATTTAGGCCATTGGGTTACTGATGATCAAAAAGACAATACTGACATTGAGAGAGAGCGCAGGTCCTTGTCTGTCCGGTGTAACATGTTGATTCGCAGGTTTGCACGCTGTAGCACACAAGTAAAGAAAACACTGTTTAAGGCTTACTGTCAATCCTTTTACACCTGCAGCCTGTGGGTTGGCTACTTGCAGGGGGCATACAGGGGCCTGCGGGTGCAGTACAACAATGCTTTCAGGATGCTGATGGGGCTACAGCGGTATTGTAGTGCCTCGGGTATGTTTGCCGAGGCCAACGTTGACAGTTTTGCGACAGTCATGCGTAAACGTTGCACGTCGACCCTAACTCGCATGCGAGCTAGTTCCAACAGCATCTTGAGCGTATTGACGGACCGATGGGATTCCCCGATGCTTGAGCGTTGGATACGACTGCACGCAGTCAAATAAAATACAGTGATGCGTTCTGGCGTGGGATTGGTCCTACAATCTATGTATTTTTAATTGTATTTTTATTTTTGGGTGTAATTTGTTTACTAACAATAGTTTTTAAGTATTTTCATGTTACTAACAATTTATGGAGAAATCTGAAATAAATTCATATTATTATTATTATTATAGCACTTTTTTTATTTGATGGGCCGACGTTTGACCATTATCTCGCCTGGTGGTAAGCAATTATGCGGTCTACGATGGCGCACGTCATCTCTTAAGCAAAGCAACCTATTCACTCAGGCCTTGAAGACATCCACTCTTCAGGAAATACAAACTATGGCAAGACTCTTCATTCTAATTTTTGTGGGGTTTTGTGTATTATTAAACATTGTGTAAAAAAGATTAGGTATTTTAGCGTAGGTACTCTATTAGTGTTAATGATTATAATTATATAGTACCTATATATTCCTACAGTATATAGCGGACAAAACTCTATTTTAGAGTAGGTACGGTTGGCAGCCCTATATACAACTGATCATTTGCAATATTTTTCTCGAACAAACTGATACTTAGGCACAAATGAATAGAAGTTTTAAAAATATTTAACTTTTAGAGTTCATTTCAAAATACGCACACACGGCAACTAAAGGGTGAAGGGTCACCATACACGGACTGCTCGAACAGTTACAAGTGATTCACATACACGGACCGTCGATAGCTTGAAGCTGCCGTCTGCCGTTGATAATTTGCTCGAGCTGTGAGCGATTTTAATGTTCATAAAAAATGATTTGCAATCAAGAGCGCACGAGAGTAATCGACAGCTCGAGCAGTCAGCGTATGCCCAGCGACTGCTTGGCCCTTGATGACATGTCAACTGCCCGAGCAGTCCGTGTCCGTGTACGTACTACGTACGTAGCAGTCTGTAGTACACTATGCAGTCGCAGTTTGAAGCAGTCGATCCTGACTGTTTAACCAAGACTTGTTAAGGAGCGCACTCGCGGACCACGGATTTTGTAAATCGAAACGCGCTTTCTAATTTTTTTTGTAACTAAGCCTTATATTATCTAGTTATAGGCGTTAGTTTATTTACTATTATTATCAAATATAATTGAGTAATATTTTTTGTTGGTCCATTAATCTATGTTCAAACTTATAACACATTACGACCGATGCAGCGGTGAAACCGCGCGGAGTCTATCGGTATGGAAGTTGGGTTTACGTGATTTAGCGGGCCAGTTATGGAACGAGACACGACATGACTTCATTAAACTGAACGATCAAATCATCGATCTAACAACAGCCGAATACTAAGAGTGGCAACTCGTTGCCAACAAGTCCCAAGTGGGCAATGGCACGGCACGCACGCTTACGTAACAGCTACGTACAGCGCATGCAACAGGATCGAGTGCGTAGCAGGAAGTCCGTGGAGGTCGGCAAAGGTCGGCACAAATCGTGGCCGGCCCTAGGCACCGAGTGCGAGCAGTGCAAGTTATGCACCTCCGTACGGAAGTAGGGCGAGCAGAGCGCAGGCGCGCGGTCGGCGTGGGGGGCGCATGCGCGCGGGCCGCGTCGATGTGGGCGCGCGACAGCCGCGCTGTGCGCGACTCGCACGTCCGCGGACAGCTGCGCCGCGCCCGCCGCCAGCCGCAGCAGCGCCGCCGCCCGCCACCGCCAGCCCCGGCCGCCGCCCGCGCGCCCCGGCTGCCGCCCGAGCGGCCCGAGCCTCCGCTGGCTCTCTGTGTTCCAGCGACCTTGCGCTCTCCGCCCCTGTAGGACCACGGCGCCGCTGACTCGGTCATCAACCCACGAAGCAAATTTATTCGATGTACTTACTTTGAATGATTTATGTGAGATTTGACAACTATGGATGGAAACAAATTTCATTCTATCACCATGATTTGAATTCGCCAGAAAATCAGTTTTTAAATTGGAATAGAACTATATTAAGAATAAATAATTTTGTTTCTAGTCTCGGGTGATAGGTATATATCTGGTAATATAATTTAATATATAATATACCAGTGGATGCGGGTGGCGAGTTGTCGTTCGACGTGGAGGACTAAGGGGGAGGCCTTTGTCCAGCAGTGGACGTCTTCCGGCTGTTGATGATGATGATGAATATAATTTATTTATTTTTATAATTTGTACCTACTTGATCGATTACATTATGAATGCGATAACCGAGTGATCGTGATTGTTGTTGAATGGCGGGTGTGTTGTGTGCAGCGACGGACAGCGGTGCCATGCGGCGGCAGTAGAGACCGCGAGGTCGCCGGCGGCCGCGGCCGATGGCGGCCAGCAGCGCGCCCGTGCGCCAGCTGCGCCGCGGGCCCGCACCGATCGCCTCCTTCGATCACGACGTCTCTGACGAGGTGAGACCGCCCGTATGTATCTTTCATGTTCTTCTTCTTCTTTTTACTTCGTTATTTGCTAGATCAATGATGTGTCCTATGTCTGTGATTAGATAAAGTTTTGAACGGACTGTTTCGGTTATTAGTCTCCATACAACGTTTCACAATGACATCTCGTTCTTTTTACAGTCCAGTCCGGAGACGAAGCAAACATTTCGACTACCGGAGATTCGCGAGGATTCCGCTAACGCCGCCCGCGGTGCGAACTCGGCGCTAGCACCCCCCGAGCAGCGCGCGCGCTCGCTATCGACGCCGGCCGTAAGCTCGGGCCTACAGACGCCGGCCGCGCCGCGTATCGACATCTCGCGCGCCTCCAGCTCCAGCCACCACGACTCGCGCGACAGCTCCCCGGAGCTGGCGCTGTTCGCTGGCACTGGCAGCGAGGACACGCGTGGCCGCCTGGAGCTTGGTTTTCGTGAGGACGGCGCGCTAGAACTGCGCTCGTCCACTGAAGAACTGGCTTTCCTAGAAGGTGCGCCTGGCGAACCTCGCCCCGCCGCGCTACCGCAGCCCAACTCGCGTCGCCACTCACGCAAAGACAGTCAAGGATCGGAAGCAGCACTTTTGGCCGTGTCTGGTCGCACTAGTCGGCTGTCTAGTGTCGGGTCGCAGTGTTCGGCGCACTCCGCACTCTCGGCCTTTAGTCATCAAAGTCGACACTCAGTCGGCCGACTCTCGGTGGTTTCAGGAATTTCACGATCTCCATCACCGCACAGGATGTTACTGGAAACTTCGTTTTGTGGACCAAAACCTATTGAAACCGATCCAGAAATCTGCGCAGCTGCTGTAGAAGAGCGTCTGTTGGAGATTGCCAAGATGACCGCGGTTTCGCCACCAGGTGTAGTGCCACACGTAATTGACGCTCGAGATCGACGCGAAGTGCGCACAGAAGCTACAGTGGAGCGGCCCGCCGCCCGTGCTCCGCCACCCTCCCCGCTACCCGCGCCCCCGCCGGCGACCAGTCAGTCTACTACAGACTCGGCAACAATAGCGTCAGTAGTACCTGTCACAGCAATAATTACACCAGTTACAAGTTCTGCAATAGTGACTATTCCTGCTCCTACTTTAATTTCTGCGCCAGATGATGATAAACTTCAAAAGGAATCACAAAATCGTGCGAAAGCCCAAGAAAGACGAGCGCGACCTCGTGTGCGGCGTGAACCGTCTGAACCTGAAGTTTATAAGAGCGCAAATCGTTCAAAAAATATCATTCGAATTAAACTGAAACCTGACGATGACTACGAGGAAGAAGAGGATAATGCAGCACCAGGAGCGGCAGCAATCGAAGTAGAGATAAACGCAGAAGCGGCTCAGAAGCCTGCCAGCTTGGAATTGGCGGCGCGTGGGGAGCGCGCGGTGCGACCTACCGAGCTGGTGGGGCGTGGCGAGCAGCCGGCGCCCGCCTCGCCCACGCCGGGCTCCCGCCGTCTACCGCGCGACAGTCGCACTCCCTCCCCTGCTGGAGTTGCTGTCTCACGAAAGTCTTCCTTTTGCTCTTTGTTCAAATCTCGTGAAACAATCGCTTCGCCCGATTCACCATCAGACGCACTTCGTCGCAAAAGAAGTCTAACAGAAGGTCGTTCCCGAAGTAAAAGCCGCGATCGTTCTGCGACCCCAACTTCTGCAGGAAAGATAAGAGGATCAGTGTTATCGCTATTTCGCACACCAAGGAAGAGTGCCGCGTCTCCTTCACCAAGTTCACGCGAAGGTTCTCCTATAGTTCAGCCACAAAAACAGATTACAACAGTTACGCCACAGTTTGCTGAGCGTGTTCGGCAAGGTGATAAACTTAAGTACTACGAGGATACAAAAGATGGAATCATACACATTCCATTACGAACGCCACCTGATGAACGGCCTGGTTCGAGTGGAGCGCGTCGTGACACAGACTGCACTAAGTCCACTGCTGAGGTTTTTACGCACCGAGAGCCACCTCGCCCGGCTTCTGCTCCACAGACTAGGCCCGTTACAGACCGTGAGTTTACACCGCAAATTTCTCAAAAACCCACACAACGAACCGTTCTTCCTGATGGTAGCATCATAATACCTTTACGATCACCTACGGAGCGAACTCCAAACGAACGTCTACCAAGTCCACCTGTTGTAGATACAACATCAACGGAAATGACTCGCTCTTTTGGGGAGGAGCCGCAATCGGTAGCGCCAATTGATATTCCAGCTCCAACTACTCCTGCACTACCCCGGCATTGTGAAGATAGCGTGCCAATGCCCACCGCCGAAGTTGACAAACTTGAGACCGCATCGAATACTGAAGACGGACGGAAACGACGCAAGGAACGGTTTGTGTTTACAACCCATGTCGGTAGCCGAGAGCAAGTCTTTAGTACACAATTCAGCATAACAAAAACTCCCAGTGTGACAAGTGAGATATCAGGTTCCTTCCCAAGTTTCGTCGATGGTGAAGAGATGCGAACGACAACAGTGCGGGATATCACAACGACCGCCGAGAGCAGCCCGGCCGAGAAGGAAGTGCGATATTCGGGCAACACCTCGGGGGTCTGCACCGCAGCGGCACCCAGTCCGGCTTCGCCACAAGAACCAGTACGAGATTCTTCCGAATCCGAGCCCAGCTCGGAGTCTGCGCCGCCTCCTGTGGGAGACGAAGTGGAGAAGCGCGGGCTCGTGGTGCAGCAATCGTTCGAAGAGGAGCTGCCCTACGTGCCAACCACGTTGCCGCAAGAGCGCTCCGTGGCACTGCCCATGGTACCGGTGCGAGAGCGCGGCGGCGTGCTAGTGTCGGGTGTGTCACGGCCGCGCGCGGCGGGCCCCGGTGGGCCGGCCGGGCCGCGCGCGCCTACCGGGGCGGGCGCAGCCAGCGGTCCACGCGTGCCGCGGCCAGCGCCGCTGCCGACGCCGCCGGCGGCCGCGCAGGACAAGCTCCGCATCCGTCTGCCGCGCCGCGCCGGATCGTCCGCGCCTCCTGCTCGTCCAGACCGTCCCACTCGCTCGCGTACCCGTAGCGGGAGTGAAAGTAAGTTACTTAAATTATCACCAAGAACATCTTTTGATTTGCCAACATGGGGGCTAACGTGTTATTGCTCATCAGATGGTATTACAGCAGCTGTCAAATATTGAATGTCCAATAGTGTGACACTAACTAATTCTCTAGTGGAACAAGGACGAGATACTAACTCTAGCGCCACCTGGTGAGCAAAAATACAATAGGCCTCACATTGTTTCGAAGCCCAAACACGGGGTCATTGCTAAAAATCCTCGAGGAGTTCCCTCGGCTGTCTCTTGACTCCATCATCAGATCGACTATTAACAAACGCTCTCGCCACCCATACAATTTTGATAAGTTCCCCTCGGTTTCCAAGAGATGATATGATGATAGGATATCATCAGATCCTGACCTGGAGGAAATGGGACCACCTCGAAAGTATGACCTTTCCAACAAAAAAAGAATCATCAAAATCCGTCCACAAACGTCGGAGTAATCGGGTAACATACACAAAAAAGAAAAATACAGCCGAATTGATACCCTCCTCCTTTTTGGGAAGTCGGTTAAAAATAAAGTCACTATCCGCCGTCTGCCTGTCCCTATGTATGCTTAGATCTTTATAACTACAGTGTTTCTTGAGGAAGGTTTAAATGCATAATACATGCATAATATAGTATAGAAACACTGATTTTAGAGGTTTCCAATGTGATATCGTAAATATGCAACTTTTTTGCGCCTGTCTTGCAAACGCTGGCAAGTTCAACAAAAAAGTACGCGGTGGTACATATACATTGTTCAAACGTCAACCGAAATTTGAATCTGTGTCAGATAGAGTTTTAGTTCCAATTTTGTAACTAGATGGTGTTGTTAGTTTTAGTCCATTTTCTGAATCGCGGTGTTAAGATTCTCCGCCGTTCAATGACCCTCGGCGAATGTTTTATGATTGTTCAGTTCGAAAGTAGATCGCAAGAAGATTGTACCTAAGTGGTAATAACAATATACAGTTCAAAGTACGTAAAACAGTGGTGTGATTGTGTAGTATCCCTGAAGAAATCCCTGTTCAGCCAGATTGGCAGTAGTTGTAAAGTTCTAGTGCGCCGTGACCAAAGTATACATTGGTCCTTGTGAGTCGGATGTGACGTAGTCACAGTGAGTGGTTGCCGAGAGGGTGCCGTGCCAACATAGTAGTGGATCTACTGCTGATGGCGCCAAGGTGCTGGTGAGTTGTGGCACCGGGTTCAACACCCAGTACGAGCACACCGGAGCGGAGGTTGCGGCGAAGTTCGAGTGATGGAGCCAGGTGAGTTCGAGTGGTGGAGCCGGGAGAGTTCGAGAGGTGGAGCCGGGAGAGTTCGAGTGGAGGAGCATCAGTACGAGGTCAAAGTTCAGTGAAGTGTTGTGAGTACAATTCAACATAATTTATAAACATAGTTCAAGAAGGTCATCAGACGGAAGACAGTTATTTTATAATAACTTAGAATAATTTTAGTTAAGTAACTAGGCAATTTACGTTTTATTAATTGAATATTTTATTATTTGATAGTCTGAAATAACTTGTTATGTTCGTATGCAATGCAACATATTTTGTAAGTTCACTTTGTTAGTTGTTAGAACAGATTGTTCGAATACGTTGTTGGCTTTATTGAATTGTTTTCTAAGTCATTGCCATGGAATCTTTATTTAAACTACAAGATGATGTAAAAAGTAGTATTGAAAAGGGGAGAAGTAATTTCAAAAAATCTCCCAAAGAACGAGTAACTCGTGGATATGTAGAAACTAGATTGGAAAATCTAGAGCAGCAATGGTCTAGATTTTATGATACACATCGGAAAATAATTGAAAAAGCCACCGTAACAGATTTGAAAAACAATTATTTTACATCCGAATTGTATGATAAGACAGAGGAAATTTATTTAACGTACAAGTCAGAGTTAAAAGACAGTAATTTACAGTTTAACATAAACGAACCTTGTACACGAACCTATTCTGCTTCGAACGTTAGGTTACAAAAAATTAATGTTCCTTCATTTTCGGGCAAATACGATGAATGGACTAGTTTTAGTGATCTTTTTATTTCGCTAGTTCATTCCAATAAAGGTTTAGATGACGTACAGAGGTTACATTATTTGAAGGGATGTTTGACCGGTGAAGCAGAGCAGTTGCTTCGTCAAATACCAATTACTGCTGCGAATTACTCAGTATGTTGGAAGCAATTGGAGCATCGGTATAACAATAAGCGACACTTGGCGAATTCCATTCTGCAACGGCTATTCAACCAAAAACGAGTAAATACTGAATCTGCGGTTAATATTAAACAAATACTGGATACAACCACAGACTGTATGAGTGCATTCTCTAACCTAGGGATTAGCATGACCACCATTGTGGAAATTATTGTAATTCACGTAGTCTCTGAAAAGTTGGACCCAGAGACCCGTAAGCAGTGGGAGTTGAAGGCTTCCGACGAATCAACAGTTGAACTTCCAACTCTAGAACAGTTTAAAATATATCTGGAGAGTCGGTTTAGAGCACTTGAGTTCATTGAACCACAGCGACCATCGGGTCAGTGGCGAGCTGGTCCACGTACAGAAAGATTATCAGGTGAGAAAACTTTGCTCGCTCGGAACGTTAATCCTGGACCATCTGGCCAATTTAAGATTAGTTGTGAATTTTGCGGCAACAACCATAAGTTATGCTTTTGTGTACCGTTTACAAAAATTAATGTAGATGAACGAAGATCTTTTGCAAAGTCAAATAAAATTTGTTTTAACTGTTTAGGCGGAAACCATTTAGTTTATCAATGTAAGAAAACAGCGGTATGTCATATTTGCGGCAAGAAACACCACACTCTCTTACACGCTAATTATGAGCATAACGCTAAGGAAGATAAGCAAACAGCTGCTAGCTCCTCTTATAATACTTCCACTGATAACAGTCCAGTTGTGTCATGTCTATCGACTAAACACATCGTCAGTCCTAAACAGGTATTGTTAGCTACTGCGTTAGTTCAAGTTCAAACTGCCACAGCAGAATTTCAGACAGTTCGGGCCTTGTTAGACCAGGGGTCCCAGGCTTCCTTTATCACGGAAAGTACAGCACAATTTTTACGATTAAAGAGAACTCCAGTTAGAAGCATTGTTTCTGGTCTAGGTAGTGTCAAGTCACCCGCGAATTCAGTTGTAACATTGACATTAAAATCGTTAGCTGATCCTAGTTTTACAATAATGGTAAACACGTATGTTTTAAAAAATATTACATCATATATACCGGAACGACAAGTAGCCCCTCTTGATTGGTCGGAATTAAAGCAACTTACGTTGGCAGACCCACAGTTTTCTTCACCTAATAGGATAGATATTTTATTGGGTGCAGACGTGTATGGTAAGATACTAAAAGATGGTCTAAGGAGAGCGCCTAATGGATCAGTAGTAGCGCAGTGTACCACGCTAGGTTGGATAATTTCTGGCAAATATCACAGTCATGCATACAGCAATGGATCAAAATGATATTCTGAAGAAGTTCTGGGAGATCGAAGATCAGTTGCCACAAAGTATTACGTTAACAGAACAAGAGTTAAAATGTGAAGAGTTATATAAAGCTACGACTACAAGATGCGCAGACGGTCGATACGTAGTCAAGTTACCGTTTAAGGAAGCAACGCCCACCTGCGGAGGTGGTAACAGTAAAGAAATAGCTGTAAGAAGACTCAAGGCATTGGAGAGAAAATTCACGAAGGATGCAAACCTGAAAGAAAGATACACGAAAGTTATAGAAGAATATTTACATTTGAATCACATGAGAAAAGTACAGAAACCAGACACAAAGTTCAATGAAGCAGCTTACTTACCTCATCACGCAGTTGTCAGAGAAGATAAATCCACAACGAAGGTACGCGTAGTGTTCGACGCATCCTGCAAGAATGAAAGGGGAGTGTCACTTAATGACACGTTGATGGTGGGACCTACCTTGCAGTCGGATTTGCGGCATATCGTCCTTCGCTGGAGAGTTCACCAAATAGCAATTACTGCGGACATAATAAAAATGTACCGACAAGTGAGAGTAGCAGAAAACGATGTAAAATATCAGAGAATAGTTTGGCGAAAAGAGCCACATGAAGAAATGCAAGAGTATGAACTATTAACTGTAACCTTTGGTACAGCTTCAGCTCCTTATTTGGCGGTTAAGACATTGCACCAGGTCGCATTGGACTATGTGCAAGAATTCCCCACGGCATCTGAAATAGTGCCAACAAGCTTTTATATGGATGATTTAATGACAGGATGTTCCACAATAGAAGAAGGTAAACATTTGTATTTTGAAATGAAAGCATTATTAGCAAAAGCAGGATTTGAACTACAAAAATGGAACAGCAACAGTTCGGAATTATTAGGGGAAATCGAGTCATATGAAAGGAAGGACGAAAAGGAAATATTAAGCGATAGTACAAAAATATTAGGACTTACCTGGTGTCGTAGTGCAGATCAGTTCAAGTACACGGTGCAGCTCCCACCAGCATCTGAAACATTAACTAAACGTATTATTATATCGGATATCGCACGCTTATTTGACCCTTTAGGCTGAATAGCCACTCAAGCCGATGGAAAACCTTTGTTAGTAATAGGGTCGCGGAGATCTTAACCACGTTAGACGCAGATCAATGGGCACATGTTTCTACGAAGGAGAATCCCGCAGATTGTGCGTCAAGAGGAGTTTTACCGTCACTATTGCCTGAAAATACTATATGGTTTCACGGACCACAATTTTTATATAATGAAAATATAGAGGCTTGTTTAAATTCTAGGCCGATGACTGTAATCAATGGAGAAGACATTCATGAACCTACGCCATTGACCCCTGGTCATTTTTTAATCGGTGAACCACTTGTCACTGTTCCAGATGGGAACTATGAAAATTCTAATATCAGTTCTTTATCTCGTTGGCAGTATATACAAAAAATGGTCCAAGCATTTTGGAAACGCTGGTCCGTAGAATACGTTAGCAATTTAGTTCATAGATATAAGTGGTCGCATAAGACTCCTGAGCCTCAGATCGGTGATATAGTTCTAGTTAAGGAATTTGATATGCCGCCTGCTTGTTGGTTTCTGGGTACCATAGTGGAGAAACACCCGGGTGACGATGGCATCACCCGTGTGGTTACTTTACGCACTAGTAAAGGTTTACTGAAGCGTCCTACATCAAAGCTCTGTGTTCTGCCAGTCAATGAAGGAAATTAGTTTATTGTACCTATTTGAGTTATTTAAATGTTTGTTTGAGTTGTTAGTTTCATAATGTGTCAAGTATAGACCATAAGTTAAACTTCAAGGTTTAAAACTTTTAGTATGTATAGTGATAGGTTTAACTATATTTTTTAATATGTCGACTGTAATTGAACAGTAAATATAAGGCTAAGGTTCATTGTAATAATTTTATTTATTTAAGTTCAAGTGTAATACTTAATTAAGTTTACTTTGTTTGTTTACATTGTTATTTAGTAAAAGAAGTTTATTTGTTTGTAAGTTACAGTTCCTAAAGTTCATGTAAGAATTATTATTGTAATTTTTTTGAAGGACATTCTTCAATAATGTCCTTGGTGGGCGGTATGTTCAAACGTCAACCGAAATTTGAATCTGTGTCAGATAGAGTTTTAGTTCCAATTTTGTAACTAGATGGTGTTGTTAGTTTTAGTCCATTTTCTGAATCGCGGTGTTAAGATTCTCCGCCGTTCAATGACCCTCGGCGAATGTTGTATGATTGTTCAGTTCAAAAGTAGATCGCAAGAAGATTGCACCTAAGTGTTAATAACAATATACAGTTCAAAGTACATAAAACAGTGGTGTGATTGTGTAGTATCCCTGAAGAAATCCCTGTTCAGCCAGATTGGCAGTAGTTGTAAAGTTCTAGTGCGCCGTGACCAAAGTATTCATACATATATGTCTATCTCTTAGGGATAACCCACCATAACCATTTTTTATCCTTTACTTAAAAGAAGTGTATTTACGAAGTGATTTTAAACAATATAACATTAATCCTTATCCTATTAGGTACCTTAAATAAATTGTGCATTTGTTATAGATTTATTTCAATTAAACCATCATTTGGTACTTAAATACAAAAAAAAAATCATCAATATAATAAGCAAATCGGAAAGTTACATCTCCTACGTATAATTTTCGAAATTAATAGAAGTGTCGTCTAAATATTCTTTTATCGAATAATTGCCCTTATTTGTCAGAATTCTTAAAATGATGTTTTTTGATTTGTCCAAACGTAGAGTGTATTTGTTCCAGTAATTTGATATAGATTTCTTTAGCCATGCAGAAGTTACTTTTATTAAATAATGTTGTTTTATCGTACTTTTTGCCACTCCAAGTTTGACGGTAGCATTGTCGTGAAGTTGTGATAGTAGGACAACCCGTATTGCCAAGGAGGAAGCGGGGCGCATGAGGAAACGAACCTCTTCACGGCCCATCTGTCGCGGGAGACACCCCGGGCATCGAAAATCGTGCGACGATCTCCGGCCACCGTAAGTGATCGGCTCCACGACTCTTAACAATCGCGATCCCGATCTTTCTATTGTGAAACGCGAACTTGGCCTCGAGGTCCAACAAAAGGAAAATTGTCAGAGCAAAATTTGATTTCATCGGCAGAATTGGCGAGCAGCTAACAGGCTCTATCCCTCTGGGAGTCGTACCTTCTGGTCACTTGCCAAAGCTGCCGAGTGTAACTTTTGTCAGTCGTCCTTACCGCCACTTCAAAAATACCGATGGAAACCTGGTCCACAGTGCAATAGAGAAAGCCGATCTGTTAGGTACTCTTTTTGCCTCAAACTCGACTTTGAATGTCGACGAAAGCACCATACCACCTACCATCGCGCATTGCGGCCACTTTATGGCGGAGGTTCGCTTCTCACAAAGAGATGGGAGGTGCGTGTTCTACCGCTTGTATATATTTGATGCCCTCGGCCACTTATCATCGCACCGCTCGTCATCGACAGGGAGTTCACGCTCACACATTGGAGCCCAAATGGTCCCGTACAGTTCGGTGGTATAAAAAAAGTGCGGGTCTTTCCCCCTCAATAAAAGGACAACCCGTATAGATTGTGAACAAACCAGGCCATTTATATTTAGGTACTGTTATATGTATTGTTCAGGTTACGACTCGCGTCCGAAAACTGAGTGGATAGACTTCGAGGAAGTGCCAGAGCGACGAAAACAGCCCAAACGTATACAGACACTACCAGCTGCGGCGGCAGCAGGAGTCACCGAGGGCGCGGACGGCGCCGGCTCGGCGGACGGCGCGGCTGTCGTGTTCAGCTACGTGGAGCCCGAGCAGTGTCGCTGCGAGTGCCACGCGCACGCCGCGCGCGACGAGGACCAGCTGCCACTGCTGCACGACGACCTGCAGCCCCTGCGCGCCAGGTATGTATACGCTACTGCGCCACTCACCGCTCACCGATCTCTGGGGAGTCGGCGAACCTCCTTGCCGGATTACCGCCGTGGGATCTGGAGGCGAAGGTGCTCGCGCGCGTGTATCACATGCGCGCGGAGGCACGTCGCCGGAGCGAAACTCCGCTGCCGCGCAAAATAAGTGCGTGGCGGGATGAGCTCCGGCGCAATCTCATGGCAGCAACGACTGTCGCAACCAAGGGCTGGGCTCGCTGCCATCGCAGCGGTAAGTCCCCTCTTTGAGGAGTGGCTTGAGAGACGCTACGGCGTCCTCACCTACCTGACGCAGGTGCTCACCGGACATGGAAGTTTCGGGAGGTACCTATGTCTGATGGGGCGGCAGGAAACGCCCGGGTGTCATCACTGCGAGGACCGCCCTGAGGACACGGTGGAACACACTGTAGCGGAATGCCCTGCGTGGGCTGAGCACCGCCGTGCCCTCAGGGAAGTGATCGGCGATGGCGACCTCTCGCGTCCGGGCCTAGTGCGGGCCATGATGCGGAGCGAGGGGGACTGGGATGCCGTCTCCTCCTTTTGCGAAGCAGTCAGGCTAGCTAAGGAGGAGGCGGGACGCGCGAGGCAGCGAAGCGTTGCCTCCTCGCAACCCAGCCAACGCGAAGGACACACCGGGCGTCGGGGATCGCGAGACGATCTCCGGCCACCGTAAGCGCGGGCCTGCGGACGGCGAGCATGGGTGGCTCCCCGTCCGACCAGAAACAGGCCCGAGCGTACGGCGCGTCGCGTTCCGCGCGCGCCTCAAAGAGCTATCAGACCACCACAGATGGGGCCCAATAGGCCGATGCCGATTCGGAGTCGCGGAGAACCTAACGGGTAACCGGGGCTCCGGCTCGAAGTGCAGGAGAAGGAACGGGGTGGTTTTTAGTCGCGGCGAAGAGGCGGGAGAAGACATTCGATGATTATTCAACGTTCATAAAATTAATGTTTTGTTGTAATGGTCAGTTCGTCGTCGTTGGAGTGCGGCGAGGAGGAGGCGCACGTGCAGCTGCGGGTGCAGATTGCTCCGTTCACCGCCGACCTCGACCTGCACCCCGACCAGCATGCCGACGGGGTGAGTACTAGGTAGCGAGCACTAGGCGAGCAGTAGCGAGCACAGTCCATCAGTGTCCTTGTGTATGTTGGAGTGTGACGGCGGACTTGGTTGCAGGAGGCGCGGTCCCACTGACGCCGCCGCGCCCGCGCCGGAGACGTCGATGCCGCTACGCCGCGCCAGGCGCTGCACCATACTTTACAACTATAAAATTATGAAGATTATATCTTACCGGCAGCGGCAAGAGATAGTATCATTTTTGAGATGTAAATTTACCCAGTTCATTAGGTATGTAATATATATTTTAGGGTCGTTTATAAATCTCCTATTAGCCACCGTTGATCTTTGCATTTTTTGATGTTTATTGAATTGTTTGACCGAAGTGTATATTGTAATTTAAATAATACGATATGTATGAAATAGTGTGATATGAATGAGTGATGTGCAAAGATGACGTATGTATGAAGTAAACACTTAACTCGACACAGGTTCGTGTCCGCACAACTGCCTTATCCGCATCGGCACGTGCCGAGAGTACCGCAGTAAGCCAAGCGTCGCGCGTTGCCTGCAGGTCGACACTGGCACTCTGGCAGTGATTGTAACTCGCTACTCGCTACAAACTATTATATTGACTATCGACCGAAATGAATAACCGACCTCTATACAAAATGTTTGGATCGATCTCGGTTGTAGACATAATTCTATTGAGTGTCTGTCAAGAACCCAGTCCCAGCCAGAGACTTTGGATTGAGCTTGGATCTTAATTTCGACCGAGTACATATTATTTACTCACGCACGCGTCTCATGTCATTTTAAAAGTTATATCTGTTTATTTTGCTAACTGCTGTAGATCTTTACTCATACCTACCTACTTGCAAAGATCACACCACACCACTGTGTATTCAAAGGTGCAATTGAGTATATTCTGTCGAGCTGTTTCTCCTCGTGTCGGGATACTTACGTAGGATCTTATCACGGGGTCGCGGGCCACTTTTATCTCGACTAATATTATATAAAGAGGAAACATTAATTTTACGCTATAGATTTATTTCACACTTTCTTGCACACATACAGGACAAAACAATAGTTTAAAATGTAACAGTAATTTGAGTTTGAGCACAACGGGCAGTGTTATTACACGCGGCGATTTCTTATTCGATTATGTATGTTTGTAACACAAAAGCTACTAAACCGAATCCAAATATTAGGTACTTCATCTTTACTGAGCAACACTGATATTATTACATTGAATAAAATAAAATTCTGCCTAAGTCACTACTCCACGCGGACGATGTCGCGGGCAGATAGAAATTAGAGTACCTATGTATTATAATTATGTATGTATAGAAGTACGTATTACATATCTATTCTCAGTAGGTACCTACTACTTCAAGACGTGCTCATGCAATGCAACCATATCGTGGCCTGACTGACCAACCCAATGATCAGTCCTCGACATATCTATAGAAGTCCGCTTTGAAGTATAGATGACTGGACTGTACACTACCGGCCCATACATTACTAAACCTGGGAGTTCAGCTCGCCTTATTTAAACAACTTGGTGTGTTTGTTGCTACCCTCCATTTAATCTTGTTTCGAAGCAGCATCACCCGTCGTCATATTAAGGTATACATTCCTATGTTGGAAAAGTAAATAAAGAAAATTTCGTTGTCACTTCTTATTCGTAATCATCGAAATCGTCTTTAGTCTCCTCGAAAACCAATGACTGCAACGTAGGCATTCACCAGGTCAGACGGTTTAGTAGACAGTAGGTGCACACTTGTGGCCAAGTGGTATGGAAGTGGTATTGTTTATTGTAACACAGCTGACCCCAAGTGAGTGTATGCTCGATTACCTTCCTCATTTTTATAGAAATATGGTCTGCTGTATTTTGAATTTGTTTTATAATGATTATTGATTTTAAGTTCCAAGCAGCCTGCCGACAAGAACATATCTACGGGCTTCTTAAAATAATAGTATGTTAACTGCTATACGATATCACTGAGTTACCTACTGATTGGCTAGAGCAGTGCAGCTTTAGATGTGCATAAAGAAGAAATGTGGTGGAAGTTCAGATGCTCACGGGTTAATAAGTATTAGACAGTACCTATAAACAGGCAGGAGTTATGTTTATATAGAGGTGCACCTAATGACTTTAAGTTTGTAAGATGCAATCTAATGAGCGAGCTGTTCTTGTCTAAGTTGCACAGTAGCGATGTAAGAAATGGACCAAAACGGTAATTGTGACATGTAGAGAGCGTGCAGGTACAGCGGGCGTTGTCTAATCAGTAATTTACCTACGTACTATTGATATAATTCATTGGTGAACGTTCTCTTTTTACTATTTTATCACTATGTAGGTACTCGTCCGAATTAATTAAGTATTTTGGAAGCTTTTTGAATCATGGCAAGATGTGTCATTCATTCTGTGTGCATGTTATTCATTATTTCGTTAAAGAATAAGTTGGAGGTGAGTGTTGAATTTTAGTGCATTACCTATACAGGGTGTATAGCGCATGGACCGACACAATTTCTTTGGGAATATGAGAGGTGGTTAGCTGCCTTTTACCCGGAAACCATTCGGACCAAATGTCACGGTTATTCTTTTTATTGAAATGTTGGCGTGCGTTACCCCAACAAGAAAGTATCTCCTAGAGATATATGAGTTGAACGTATAGTTGGTGCCCTACCTGCTGTAAATGTGCCCCCACTTAAAAAATGTGTGCCCCCTGTCGTTTTGAAAAAAAAACGGAAAAACGATTCTTGCTGGGGTAACGTTTTTCTAGCAGGAAAATTCTAAACGAGTGATCGGAGAGAAAAAAAATGTTCATGGCCAGAGAGCTTATATGTGTGCCACTATGTGCCCCCAAAAATAAAATCTGTGCCCCTTCAGATTTTCGGGATATTGCGTTTCCTGCTGGAGTAACGTTTTGATGAATCGTATATCTCTAAAACCATTGCATGTGCCCCTGTAGAATAAACATTCACGAGTAGCTCGTAATGTGTGCCTCTGTGTGCTCCAATTAGATTTAAGGAAATATTTATAGTTTTCAAGTTATCGCGGTTTTATGAAAATCCGAAAGAACATCGCAGCGCCTAAATGAGACAAGGTATAAGTTCGCTGAAAACTGTATTCGGTCCTTCTTGATGCTAATAATAACCATACAAAGTTTCAAAACGCTTCATGCATGCGTTTTTGAATAATCTTGCTGCAAGTCAAGACGATGGTGTCATAACTTTGACGGCAAAAAACAAGGAACTGGCTAAATCCCAGATGTGTAGGTGTAAACCAAAATCATGTGCCTTTAATCAAAAATATGTGGTGAAAATATTGAGCTTGGAATGTTTCGCATTAAGTAAATATGAACAAAAAACCGAATTAAGTAAACAACGGCTGGTTATCCGACCAAATTTGAATGACTACTAAAAAGCGACGGATTCATACATATCGATGACCTTCTTTATTTTACTTACTAACCGGTTCACACGTGTTGTGCCTGAGTACACTGAAGTAGAAAAGTAATAAATAATAAAATAAAGTTGTTATTGGATTATGTTCTACTAGTGAATAATAGGTACAAAGTGTTTATTGACTAGGAAGTGCGTTTAGATTATTTCTTTTTATTGGTAAACAGTTGCAGTTATGTAATGACGCCAAGGACACTGTTATGTTGAGTCACGCAGTTGCACTGATACTGTTTGTTTACTTTTTGTTTTTTTACTTACTGCGGTGGTAAGTATTTAATATCTTTATTTTGACTTATTTACAAATACTTGTACCTTATGAAATAGTTAGCTTATTTGTTTCTGCTATAAGACAAAGAGTTTGCTCTAATAGTATGTGCATAAGTCATGCAGATGAAAACAAATTGTACAATGCAAGTATTTGCCGTTGAACTTAGATATAATAAATATTAAAGGTATCAACCACCTACAAGAAGCTTGCGAATCATGTTTAAGAACAGAATTTACTCCAGAGTGTCATATTTGTTGCGCCGGAAATATATCCTTCAGATACAATGTTAAAGATATTATCATTTATGAACTTCATGACGTTTGCGTCAAGTTGGATGATCTGCCTCGTAACATTGAAGTAAATAATAAGGAGTACACAATTCTGTCTGCAATAGAATATGAACCCGCTTCGAAACTCAATAGTGTTGGACATTACAGGGCTCACTGCTACAGAAAAAATAGTAATTTATTTGAATGTTATGATGACTTATATGGTAAAATCCAACGAAGTGGGAAATATAATATTATGCCACATGTAATAGTCTACACAGTAGAATAGACAAAATTGTACAGGGTTAAAATGAATGCTCCAGAGTAGCCCGCGAAATACAAATTTTCTTATGTCTTTTGGAAGTTTAGTTTAGTTTAAGTTAAGTTAAGTTTTTTTTCTTAAATTAAGGGAAGAAAAATAATAATTTCCACATCAACAAGCTGTTTCATTAATATAGTCACAAGCTGCATTATTTTATATTTTTTAATTAGCCCCCAAAACTTTTGAACGCAACTGCACGGACAACAGCTTAGGTATAATACGTCCAATAAAGAAGGTCATCGATATGTATGAATCCGTCGCTTTTTAGTAGTCATTCAAATTTGGTCGGATAACCAGCCGTTGTTTACTTAATTCGGTTTTTTGTTCATATTTACTTAATGCGAAACATTCCAAGCTCAATATTTTCACCACATATTTTTGATTAAAGGCACATGATTTTGGTTTACACCTACACATCTGGGATTTAGCCAGTTCCTTGTTTTTTGCCGTCAAAGTTATGACACCATCGTCTTGACTTGCAGCAAGATTATTCAAAAACGCATGCATGAAGCGTTTTGAAACTTTGTATGGTTATTATTAGCATCAAGAAGGACCGAATACAGTTTTCAGCGAACTTATACCTTGTCTCATTTAGGCGCTGCGATGTTCTTTCGGATTTTCATAAAACCGCGATAACTTGAAAACTATAAATATTTCCTTAAATCTAATTGGAGCACACAGAGGCACACATTACGAGCTACTCGTGAATGTTTATTCTACAGGGGCACATGCAATGGTTTTAGAGATATACGATTCATCAAAACGTTACTCCAGCAGGAAACGCAATATCCCGAAAATCTGAAGGGGCACAGATTTTATTTTTGGGGGCACATAGTGGCACACATATAAGCTCTCTGGCCATGAACATTTTTTTTCTCTCCGATCACTCGTTTAGAATTTTCCTGCTAGAAAAACGTTACCCCAGCAAGAATCGTTTTTCCGTTTTTTTTTCAAAACGACAGGGGGCACACATTTTTTAAGTGGGGGCACATTTACAGCAGGTAGGGCACCAACTATACGTTCTACTCATATATCTCTAGGAGATACTTTCTTGTTGGGGTAACGCACGCGAAATGTTGTTGTATACTAACTTTTTTCTTTAGGTATTACCTTTTTCTAACAATATGCTACAAGTCACATTAATGATTACCTATGTTGTAAAAATGCGGGTTACTACTTACTTTGACGTACCCGTATTTTTATGGGAACGACACATAACAATGAAACCAGAAGAAGCCAAAAGTAACTATTATCAGTCATATTATTATGTACTGATTGTTTACTGACCCACTGATAGGTCTGTAAAAAGTCTGTTCCCCAAAACTTAGCTTTTAGCTAGCTAAGGAACCTTTAAAAATAAAACTAAGTTGTTTTATATATATTTTTTTTAAATTTAGAATTTGCAAAATTTCTGACGAGTGAAAACCATTTGGATGAAAGATGTATTTTAGATGTGACTTTGGGAGTATAGGACAAAATTTATTCTGGAACATTATAGTACACACAAACAAAAAAAATATTTCTAGTTAAAAAACATTTTGAGAATTTTTTTTATTAAAAAATCATGTTACCAACCGTGACATTTGGGACGAAGAGTTTTGTATAAAAGGTAGCTCCGAATCCATGAAAATAAAACGGTCCATGCGCCAAACTTCTGTATATTTTACGGATTATAGTATATTCCGTTTTTTTTTTGTTCGTCGTCCGTAAATTGTTTGTGATCTCTGTGACTGATAGCTGTCAGTAACATGCCCCTGAAGTTCTGAATTTAGGTGTACAAAAGTAAATACAAACAGCATATACCTGAAAATGTTATATTATAGGTACTACTTATGTCGACCTATTTAGTGATGGGCGGTAACTATCGATATTATGTAAAACTTAATTATGAGTGAATAAAAGCGATTTTTTTCACCTACCTACTCATGACAACTTCGTATTACGGGAGAAAACACACACACACCGCTTTTGGCTCAATGACAGAGTTAAGTCAGTATTAAAGACGATTGTAATTAAATTGAACCACATTATTGTTACACAAGCATCAATAAAATAAGAAAATTAATATCGATAATTACCAGCGACATTTTTATATCGTAACCCTAGAAATGCCATTGTCATTTACTTGTTACACAGAGACGGATCATTTTACGGACTGTACAAAAACCGCGGACAGAGGCGGAGTAAACCTAGAATGGGCTCGGCAAGCACCACATAGGACTTTCTATTTTATTTGGCGCCGCCGCCACTCATTGCCAATTGGGCACGCGTCTCGCGACGCCCTAGTAGGCACTTGCCTTAAGAATAATACGGCTCTGACCGCGAGTATAATTATCGTATCCCTATATTATGCTTTTAGTTATCTAATTACTTATATTGTGTAAATTGTATCTTGATATTTTCTCTCATAGAAATGTTACCTATATAAAATCTATAAATATTTGGCTCAGCTTAGTGCGATCATTTTTAAATAGGTACCTATTCCGTGAGCTTCTCGTATGTACTACATACTTACATCACTATAAAACTGTTAATTCAATAGAATCTGTGGTCTCTAAACATGCAGTGACTATCGTGTTCAGCCAGAGCCGGGCGGCGCGGCGCAGCCACGAGTCGTGATACTGATAACGTGACAATATTGTTTACACTGTCTGCACATTCTATTGAACCGAAGCCGGACGATGTAGCGACACAACTGTACCTAATGTTGTTAGTCCATTTTGTTAAAGCAATTTAAGATGTGTATGTAATACTGTTAAAGAAAATCTATCAGTTATGTAGGCAAAAGTCTGAGAAGTAAAAATATGAATTTTGCTTTCCATTCCCTGCTTTTTATTTATTAATTCCTGTCTTTTAGACTATTACCATTATGTATAATGTGGATCACTTACAGCCGACCAATTCGGGAAATATAGCGTTATATTATTGCTGTTAATGACAGCCTCATTCATTGGTATGGTGGTCTTAAGTGCGACTGCCGCGAAGGGGTCTCGGGGCAAGTATTTCTGGGTTTTAAAAATAATCTCAGTAGTAGCACGGAGTCTGGAAATGCGTCCGGTATGTGGCAATATGCTCACCCCCTATTACATGGGGACTCATAACATCAGTGAAAAGTAGGTGTTACACTGTACAGTGGAGCGCCTACCCCTTCGGGGATAAAAGGCGTGGAGTTATGTTATTATCGTTTAATTAATAGATGACAACTTAATGTTAAATAATAATATAAATAATCATCTCCCGATCGATTTCGATCATGGCGGCCTGTCTTACTAGAACGTTACGCAGGAGATCGCACAAGTGCACTCTCTGTTCCCGACGGGACGGCACACCGAAACGACCAGAAAGAGACAGACAACAGACCTGGCGCAGGACTAACGGCTTTACGTGCCTTTCGAGACACGGGGTAATACATCGCAGAATTTCATATTTAATATAAAAAAAATGTTTCAAATTAGATTCACAACTATCAAACAATATGCTGGTTGTTGCCATTTTAAACTGTCAAATACCAAGCGGTCACCGGTGACCGCGACCTATTGTTCTTTAATTGTGTCTATAAAACCGGTACTCGACGAGTTAAATAATAACTCGTAAAGGAAAGATATACATGTGCATAAATAAAAAACAATTTATTTCAACTGCCCATTCAGGATTATAAAGACACGAGTCTCCGGTCGGGCAGACAGCGGTACAATACAAAATAAATGCAAGTACTTGATACAATACAGGTAAAGCAACGCGACGCTCATTTGAAGATCTTGCCCTGGTTGAACTTGCGGCCCTGCTTGTCTACTCCGTTCCACGAGAAGTAATCCTGCACCAGCTTCTTGGTGTCGGGGCTGGCGGGGTCCAGCTTGGTCCAGTCGTAGGACTCGTAGTCTATCTGCCAGTCTGGCGACAGCGGGAAGGCGAGCTCCTGTCCGCGCCACACCCAGACGCCGGAGATGGTGGAGTCGTTGTCGGAGCCGAACAGACAGACGGACGCGAACGCCTGCTTGCGCATCTTGTCCAGTCGCTGGAACATGCCTGCAACACACGGTACAGTGTCGAGATATCGCCCGGACGGTCGCCGAGATATCGCCCGGACTGTCGCCGAGATATCGCCCGGACGGTCGCCGAGATATCGCCCGGACGGTCGCCGAGATATCGCCCGGATGGTCGCCAAGATATCGCCCGGACGGTCGCCGAGATATCGCCCGGACGGTCGCCGAGATATCGCCCGGACGGTCGCCGAGATATCGCCCGGACGGTCGCCGAGATATCGCCCGGACGGTCGCCAAGATATCGCCCGGACGGTCGCCGAGATATCGCCCGGACGGTCGCCGAGATATCGCCCGGACGGACGGTCGCCGAGTAACGCTCGTGTGTTACTTACCAGTGATAAGGTTGCAGCTCATGAACACTTTGGCGAGCTCCTCGGGGTATTTGTATTCAGCGTACCAGATGGAATAGTTTTCAGGGTCAAACTTCTCCCAGAAGTAGGGGATGGACTTGGCCTCATCTTCATTTGAATAACAACGTTTGAAGTCATCCATGTTGAAAGTCCTGAAAGATTACAAAAACATGATATAAAGTAAAGGCCGTTTTGGGATACGACGACTGCACGATTAGCCGTATTGTCAATACGAAACGTAATACTTTATGACAGCACACATATAGCCTCATTGTAATTATTTTACAATGGATGGTCTTGGTGACCATTGTCATATTTTTGTAGTATTAAAATGCAATGTTATCCCAAGATAGCGGCTATACAAAGTTATAAAGGGTGTTTTGGATTGTGTTTTTAAGAGGATGGTAAAGCTGATGGTGTTGTCAAAATGTAAATCCAAGATGGCGGCTGCTCGAAATTTTCAACATATCGTGATGAACTTCGTTTAAGTTGAAAGTTTGACAGCACCATCACTACCATCAGTTCTACCACCGTCGAAAACCACGAAAACGACACCCATGATAAAAGGTTGAAAATTTGGATTTACATTTTGAAAGTACTATCGGTTTTACATTCTTTTTTACATAGAAAACCACGAAAATGACACCCATGACAAAAAAGTAAATAAAATTTTGCAGCCGCCATGTAGGGTTTACATTTTGACAGCACTGTCAGTTTTATTACCCTTGAAAACCACGAGAATAACATCCATTACGAAAACAATATTATTACGTATTTAGCAGAGTCGCGTGTGTTATATTTTGTAACTATAAATTAAGCTCCGAAAGCTATCTGCCTAATTTTGTCCCAGTCGTATTCAATTCGGCTAATCGTTCAGCCGTTGTATTACATAACGTGCATGGTTTGCTAAACGACTAACAGTAGTGTAATACGGCAGATTACACAATTCGCCTGCGACATACAGGTGACTTGTAACTACATATTCCTATCGGGAGGCGACAATACAAATAATTTCCTACAATAATAGTCCGGAAGTGACTAGTTTCTGAGATACTCAACATTTTCGGTTTTGGTAAAAAAATCCCGAACTACAAAAACATCAATAAATTAAAATTTAGTTTTAATTCAACAATTGTCAATACAACAATAAACCTTTATTAATCTAATAATTTCAGAGTGTAAATCTGCTACAATTATTACGGGGGTCCAATTCCATGGCCCGCACCGTGTCCAGATCTAATGCAGGTTGGTTTTTACATGCGGGGCACAATTCACAACAGTCTCTTGTTTAAGCGACGCTAATTCCGTCTATCAAAATCCTTCGCGACAAAATAATTGAAGCTGCTGAAAAAATAAGACGCTAATTCAGTTCAAGAGTGACCGTGTGCGGGCATATAATATCAGAAATTTGTTTAATCCCTATGATGACATAGGGAAGGTCACTTTGAACAAATTTAGTAAATAATGATGTTCTTGAAATTGCATGTTTACACTCTACTTATCATCAAGTTATTAATTTCTGAGAATCTTATAAATAATTTAATGTTTTTAGGTAGCTAATAAAGCTAGGAAGTTTTTCTAATAGTTTGCATGTTTAGTGTAATATATTGTTTTTTAATAAATGCAGTCTTCTGTTGACCAAATTAGTGACTCAAAACAAAATTCAATGCTAATTTACTTGCTATTTTCAAACGAATGATATTTTTGAAAGTATTAGTAGACAATAAAATAAAACTAAAGTCACTTAAATCAAACCAGTAGTTTTTTATTTATTGATGGTTTTGTAGTTAGATTGGGATTTTTTCACCAAAACCGAAAATGTCGAATATATCGGAAACTAGCCACTTTCGTACTAGGGACCTCACGGCTATTGTTGTAGGAAATTAATTATATGATCACTTCCCGAGAGCAATACGTAGTTACAAGTTACCCTGTATACATTCACGTTTAGACCAGGGTGCAAAGGATATAATAAAGATATATGATATCCAATGACTTTTTGTGATCTATATTAATACATTTACCACCAATCAGTAACCATAGAGGATCCCAAGAAGAAAAATATTATTGTACAGTGCCAGCGGTGTCAACAATATGGGCACACCAAAAATTACTGTATGAGACCATTCCGCTGTGTGAAATGCGCCCAGGCACACAAAACCTCTGACTGCCCTAAACGGGATAGAAATACACCAGCTCAATGTGCATTGTGCCAAGGTTCCCACCCGGCAAACTATAAAGGCTGCGAGGTGTATAGAGAAATACTTGCTAGGAAAATTAATAAATATGGTCACCGTAGAACCGATAGACATGCTATTGTAAAAGACACCACTGCCGAAACAAACCTTTCGAAAAATACTGTTCAACAATTACCCACCTATGAGCAAGGAAAAGAACCATATTCATATGCCAAAGCTACTAGAAACGAACCAAACAAAGCTACCACAGAACATACCACACCAAATGTAAGCCAAAATATAGCGGTATTAGAAAGTATCCTCAACAAACAAAATGAAAAATTTGACCTTATCCTACAACAAATGAGTACTCTAATGAGCCTCATAACTACGCTCATAACCAAACTACAAGGTTAACAGGCCTTAGGTTAAGACTGGCGACATGGAACATAAATGGACTCTCACCCAACAAAGATGAACTCGAGTTACTGATGGTTGAGCACAAACTGGACATAGTCTTGATATCTGAGGCTCACTGCACAGACAAATCTAATGTCAAAATCAAGGGTTCTTGACTTACACTACAAACCATCCCGATGGTACAGGTCATGCGGGATCAGCTATAATTATTCGCAATAGTATTAAACACCATCTATTACCTGAATATAGAACGGAGCAAATACAGGCTACTACAGTTGGAATACAAGACAGATGTGGATATTTCAATGTCTCAGCTGTTTATTGCCCTCCAAAACATCGAATAAACTCTAACCTGTTCTCCCACTACTTCTCAAGTCTAGGCAATCGCTTCATTGCAGGAGGCGATTGGAACTCCAAACATATACATTGGGGTTCAAGACTGACAACAACCAGGGGAAGACAACTAAAGCTGAGCGCTGACATAAATCATCTAAGCACGATTGCTCCATCAGAACCTACAAACTGGCCAGCCGATCACAATCGAATCCCGGACGTGCTCGACTTTTTCGTAACAAAGGGACTGTCCAAACAGTACTTAAAGATAGACTCGTGTAATGATGGGTCATCCGATCACACCCCAGTTCTGTTAACTATCAGTTCAACTGTAATTGAAGTCGAGAGACCCGTAACATTATATAACCAGCATACAGATTGGTCCTCCTTTAGGGAATACATTGAAAATAATCTTAATCTGAACATCCGACTAAAAGAGGCAGAGGAAATTGAAACAGCAGTGATGCAATTCACTAACCTCATACAAGTCGCGGCCTGGAAAACCACGCCTAGTACTGGACATAAAAATCAGTCCACTAACGTACCACTAGAAATAAAGGCCATGATCCAGGATAAACGCAGATTACGAAGAGTTTGGCAGCTAAGTCGGCACCCTCAAGATAAGACAGCCCTTAATAAAGCTAGTGTACAATTGAGAGAAGCTTTAAAAAACATCAATGACCTAACTATGCAAGCAAAGCTAGAGTCTCTAACTGCTACTAAAGCTACTAACTACTCTCTATGGAAAATTACCCGTTCCTGTGACAGACCTAACTTACCAAAATCCCCGCTAAGACAGGACAACAACTGGGCCAGAACAAATCAAGAAAAAGCGGACTTGTTCGCGAATCACCTAATAAGCGTCTTCAAACCAAATGATACCCAAGACCACTCAACAGAAGAATATGTTGATCTCATTCTTAAACAAGACCTTCAAATGGATCTCCCACCGAAACCTGTGTCGCCCGCAGAAGTCATAAAAATTATCAATCGACTAGATAGCAAAAAGTCACCTGGTTACGATCTAATAACAAAGGAAGTATTACTGCAACTACCGAGAAAAGCTTTTGTATTCATCACCACCATCTTCAACGCTATGTTACGTATAGGGTACTTCCCGAATGCGTGGAAAGTCTCGCAAATAATCATGGTCTACAAGGCTGGCAAATTAATTACCGAAAAAACATCTTATCGCCCAATCAGTCTGCTACCTACTCTATCTAAGGTAGCGGAGAAGACAATGCTTCGAAGAATAATGCCAAGTCTCCTAGAACGCAAGGTGATACCTGACCATCAATTTGGCTTCAGAGAACGTCATGGTACAGTAGAACAAATCCACAGAGTATATGATGCCATAAGAAGATCCTTAGAACAGAAAGAATACTGCTCATCAGTGTTCTTAGATATCCAGCAGGCATTTGATAAGGTGTGGCACAAAGGATTGCTATGTAAGATAAAAGATAATATTTCTCACTCATACTTTCCAATATTTAAATCATATCTCGAGGACCGCATATTCCATGTAAAAGTGGGAGATGCCTATTCGAATTTCCATAAAATTGAAGCCGGGGTGCCACAAGGATCAGTTCTCGGACCTCTACTCTACACACTTTACACAGCTGACTTACCATTAACGCCAGGGATAACTACAGCCACATTTGCAGATGACACCGCTATATTAGCGAGCGCTAAAGATCCAAAAGTGGCATCTGAAAAACTGCAGATTGGTCTTAATAAAGTAGATGAGTGGCTGCAAAAGTGGAAAATAAAGGCTAGCGCTACAAAGTCAGTGCAAGTAAATTTTCTCTTAGAAAAGGAAACTGCCCACCTGTAAAATTGGGCCACTGCACTCTACCTCACAGTGATCATGTAAAATATCTTGGCCTACACATTGATCGTAGATTAACCTGGAAGCAACACATCAAATGTAAAAAGCAGGAGCTCCAGTTAAAATACAACAGTCTTTACTGGATGCTGGGAAGGAATTCAAGGCTCTCCCTAGACAACAAACTACTAATCTACAAAGTAATCTTGAAACCCATTTGGACGTATGGCCTGCAACTATGGGGCAGCGCAAGCGATTCTAATATAGAAATTCTCCAACGCCAACAGAACAAAATCTTGAGAACCATCGCGGAAGTACCATGGTACATAACCAACAATGAATTACACAATCACCTTGAAATGAGAACAATCAAGGAAGAAATTAGGAGCTTTGCAGCTAAATACAAAGAACGGTTAACCCGACATGCTAACGAACTCGCTCGCCAACTCACCATGAACCAGTATGTGAAACGTTTAAAACGACACCACATCCTAGAACTCGAAGACAGACAGTAGGTCTAGGCAGCAGATGAGTAGAGCTTCCAATGGGAAGTCACTCCGCATGACAGATCGCACAGAAGATTTGCTCATAGCCTTGGGGCTGATTGCAAATGTATTTGGAAAAAAAAAAAAAAAAAAAAATATTAATTTTGTCCAATCTAGAAGAAAATTTTGTGTTTTGGATTAATTTGTCGGATTAAAGTAGTAGGTACTTTAATCTGACAACTCTAAATGTAACAACATATTATACATTTTTATTTCAATTGTACCCTATGTTACTCCTTAGTACATCAGCTAACTGCCAATAAAAGTCTCGTCAAAATCAGTCCAGCCATTCCAGAGTAATAACAGTTAAAACTTATGTATTTTACAAGTAGTCACATAAAGTTACATACCCTTTGGGCATGGAGTCGAAGGGGTCTTTGGACTCCTTGGGTTTTTCATCAATGTCGTCAGCTAGTTCTGGCGCAGGCTCCTCCTTCTTCTTGGGCTGTTCCTTTTTTTCAGGTTTCTTTTCTTTCTTCTTGTCTCCAGAATCCTAAAAGTAGATGCAGAAAATGGATAATGTAACTTAAAAAATGTACTGAATGTAGGAGAAAGTATCGAATAATAGAGTACCTTCTTGGCTGCGGGAGGCGTGGGCGGCGCGGCGCAGAGCGCGGGCGCGGCCAGCACGGCCGCCACGGCCGCCTGCGCCGCCAGCGTGCTCCACCAGCGCGACACGCACGGCAGCCCCGCGCGCACGCCCGGCTCCAGCACGTGCTGCAACACACTGCCGTCAGCGCCCGGCCCGCGCGGGCCGGGGCGGCGCCCGGCGGGGCCGGCGCGGACTTTACCTGGAAGGCGTGTATGAGCGTGCAGAAGACGATGATGTCGGCCAGGGTGACGCGCTCGGTGACGAGGAAGGTGCGGGTCAGCAAGTGCGCGTCCAGTACTTTCAATGCCGCCAACAGGTCCTGCTTCGCACGCTCTACGTTCTGTAATCACGATTGACATTTCTTTAAATATTAAATAGAATGTTTCATACAAAGTCATATTACCCCAAAGGTGAACTAGGCAAGTGCCGAGTCCGCTAGATTAGAGAAGTGCGCCGCGACGCTGCAAGACATGTGCCTCTAGCTAGAGTCTTGGCAGCGCCAAAATATCGTATAGGTGCACTAATAAAATACTTGCCTAAAGCGCTCTCTAATCCACCTCTGATCTGGTCTGATCACATGTATGAGCTACATCTCACGATGTTTAATACAACACATCATCATACAGCACAATTTATAAACTGTATGTTATACTACAATTAAATAAAATATTACAGGCAACATAAAGTACTAGTGGTAGTAGTACCTGTTTGTTGAACTGCATGATGCCAAGATATGGGAAGACCCAGGCGCAGGATGCAGGCAGCAGCTCACTGTCTGCCCAGGAAGCCCACTGCAGCACGCGCGCCTGCGTGGCCGCGTCCGTGCCTCGCAGCGCGGCGTTGGACACTGCCACACACAACCAACATCAGTAACATCTATTCCCTTCCACTGGATCTTACAGTATCAATGGCCCAATTAAAAATAATAGTTTTTTTTTAAAGAAAGATTGTTTATTAGTAAAACATGCATATTAATAAACAGAGTAATCAGACATGCAAGATGTAGTTGCCCCCACACTTTGATTTTTTACTGTGTCATGAGGTTTCTTTACAACTATGCAAGTGAATACTGTTATACCAGTACCAGTACCTAAAATCATCATGCCTAAAGTACTTACAACAGTTGACATTAATACCTACTAACTTGTTTCTCTGAAAATGTATTAAGGAATAATGAACACAATTATCAAGACATTATACTAAATGTATATTATTACTAATCAAACCTAACAATCAATCAGTTTCTCCATGACACAAAATTTTCTGTTAAAACTGAGTTTTATGCACATTACCATTTTAGGATAGTTATTAATTACTATGTATCAATAAGTTCCATTTATCAATCATTTTATTTTAGATAAGACAGGACTATGTTTAATATTATCCCATTGAATCATTGAAATAGATTAATGACCAACTTAGTATTAATTAGACTAAATATTTTGCTGCATTTGAATTTTGGTTAGATAAGGTTGTTTAGCTAGTGTATCCAGAGATATTTCCTAGCATGGAATCCACAGCAATTTCATTTTTTTACTCTTGACATTGAAGTCTTAAAATTGATTCCAATTCTATACTATATCATAAATGGATTCAAGCTGGATTCTAAAATGGATGTATTAAATATTAATGTTAGTCAATGCAATATTACAATCGATATCTATATTGGAATTTAGACTTTCTTAATACAAAGCAAGTAATTTAACAGATGGACCGGCATCTACACTACGTATAGATAATGATTAGGTTTAGTGTAAGAGCTTAACTCTGTAGTTACTGTAGATGTTAAAGCGCTACCGCAACATTTTTAGGTTATGTGATTAGCAGCTGTTTGACAATTTAAATTACAAAAGTAATGTGCACTCACCATAATAAGCAATAGCATTGCTTTCCGATAGTAGAACCTTGCCGTCAGCACTTTCGTAGGCTGGAACCTACAATTATAACAAAGTTTACACGTCATCCTCACATCCTAAATGAATTTTCAGGAAGTTTCCAAAACAATCACATTTACGATCAAAAAGGCACTCACTTTACCGGCTGGAAACTTTTTCAAGAACTCTGCTGACTTATTAGTTTCACCGAACACAAAGTTAGGGGCCACTTTCACGTCTACTCCCGAGTACTGTGCGGCGATCAACGCCTTGTATGCCCGGAAGTTTTCTGGATAGGTGTAAAGTACCTATAAAAATAAAGATAACACACATTAATATAGTTCTAATGTGTGTTTCTTTGATAATATTTATATTAATTTCGTTTGGATTACGAAGATTTTTTGTGATAAGTTTAAACCTACCCCGGCCGCCATGGTTGCAACTTCTGAGAGAAAGATAGCGGTAGGTGAAGGGAGGGAGGGGCCGATTTGCTGTCCGATCCGATACCATTTTGGTGACATTGACATTGACAAATTTGGCATTTGGAAATGACAATGTCACAATAATTAAAATGAAACTTTACTGTACCACTTTAACCAAGAAGTCGTTATCAAGAAAGGAAAAAACGTTCTGTTCTCTATTATTTTAAATATGTTTTGGCACTCTCAGTATTTACTAGTATTTATCCATTTTGAATATTGTGTTTCTAATAATAAAATATTTAACCCTTCAAGCATTCACATTTTCGTTAACCCTCTTGCTATATCTAGCAACTATTCCCGGGGCCCGGTCGGTGAGTTTGCGAATCTCCGCCTGTAAAGTTTATGTGTAATCATTACATATAACATTGTTTTGGCAGGTGCCTGAATTATCCATAGTTCCCAATTTACCAGTCCATAGCAATAGCAACCCATCCATAGTCCTACTTTACATTGTCCTACATACATTGTCTACAATGTATCTAGTGTCGAAATTGTGAAGCTGTCTAAAAACGACACTAACAGTTTTCGTTTATAATTTACGTCACAGAATTTATTAAATATATGTAAATTTAAAATTAATCAAATGTTATACAAATTATTCAATTAATATTCTTAACTCACTTCATTACACTTGAATTCAAGCCTATATCCTTTATCCACCATCACGCCATCATTAAACTCGCGTTTATTTAAGATTTCTGATTCATTTGTAATATGTTTATCTGATGCTCGACCAAGATGCACTTATTTCAGTAGTTAGGCCAGGAGTTATTCCAATAATAAATTTCGCTTTATTGTATGAGAGTACGTCAATACTCTACATTTTAAACAGAAGAAGAACAGTCTCAGCAGTCTAATATTATTACATACATAGATACATAACTTCACGCCTGTCTCCCATGGGGGTAGGCAGAGACTAAGGAACGCCAATTACCACGATTCTTACATACCTCTTTCGCTTCATTAACAGTCATCAATCTTTTCATGTAATATTATTCTTGTATTTTTATATATTTGGAATCATTCAGGTACAAGTTGTAAGTATTAATTCACATTGTAAGTTACTATCACGTACGTATCATTTCGGTATGAAGCCAAGGAATAAAAACTTTGAGTACTCTACTCAGCATGGGGCACATATTATTAATATAATTAGAACGTGTCTGCCTATTTAAACAAAACAAATCACCAATGGCTCTAAATGACATATTTTGTTTAATTTTTAGCATTGTCAAAATAACTCTGTCTCTCACAGATAACATTTTCTTGTTTGTTGAAGCATTTAAGGCCAATTCAATAACACAAGTCACCAATGTTTCTAAAAGTACAATTAAATGAATACCCGTAAAAATAAATAAATACATACCTATCACTGTTGAGTAAATCTGAGAGAGTTAATTGCTTTACAACTGATCTTTCCTCTTTCCATACTGGAAGAAAATTTTTTGATTCATAATTTTGTCTTTTGGATATAAATGAAAACTTATTTCCGAATTTCAGTAAGTATTAGATTGAGGAACGCAATAATATTTTGTTTCTGCTTTTATTAAAAACAGGTTTTTGTATGTAATCGTGATCTATTTGATTTTATTTAAACTTATTAACCTCTGTCGTTCTTAGACAACTTCTAAATTTCGCCGCTAGAGACGCGCGGATAATACACTAATCGGGACTGTCGTTGGGTGCATTTCCATAGCGCATACAGGGATAGCCGCCAGTTTGTGTGTTCATTACATTTAGATTAACGTTGTCTAAAGGGCTTCTACGCACTGCGCAGATGGTTTCGGTTCGCTTAGCCCTCATACGCTTCCCCAAATGACCAGGCCTTGTAGTCCCGTGAATGGTAAAGACACACATCTTAAAATAAGTAAAGTCACTTGAGTTGTTGTCTATCAAGGTAGAGACTTTTGTAGTTAGCATGTAGTCTAAACTTACCTTTATTTATGATATACAACCATCCTATGGGATGGTAAAGGTATATCACCCAATCAGAATTGTTGATTCCTACTCTACAACTAACTAACGGAAAATTTATTTATTTCCCACTTTTCCAATTCACTCCAATCGCATCATTTACCCCATTCTACTCTACTATTTATTATTGTAATTCTAGGTGGAATTCAATAACATTTAGCGACTTTTTTGCTGTACTTGTAGGTTAATGTTAAGAAGGTTAAATATGTTTGTAAAGGTTTATTTAAGTATCGGTTAACTTATAATAGCTATTACATAAAAAAAAATTAAAGACATTCGAGATTCGACAAAATTGTTTTATAGCGATAAAATATTGACAAAAATTATCCACACGTCCTGAGCTCATCAATCGACATCGATGAAAACACGATAATTTAATAAGTTATTGTGTTTTTTATATATTTGGTAACTTATAGAAAACGTTTCTTTCGTAGATTTGGGTGATGAATAAAATCATATTTTTTTTACCTAGTTTGCTTACTTGGGATTGCAGTCTATTACAATTTGGTTATCTGTGCTATATTCTATAGTCTGTAGTGAAATTAAAAGTCTAAGATTGATATAATCTGTGCGTTTATTTAGATCGATGGTGTGAAAGTGCAGTGGATTTCATTTGCGACGGATTAGAATTTGCAAATTTTTTGCCAGTTGCCGATAGATTTCGATCGTAATACAAGGTCTATTTAAAAACTAAACAAAATGGTTAGTATGATATTTCTGAATAGTGCTAATTATTTTTAGAATAAGGAAATTAGAATACAGGATTGACCGTACCTCTTAAGCCAGGCACATTACCATCTAAATGAAATGGAGCCGGTGCTCGTAAAGACAGAGCTGCTTACCGACACTGACAGAGTTTCTTACAAAGTCACGTTGATTTTGCTATAAAATAAATTGAAATGTTATCTGAATAGTAATTGTGTGCCTGTTCACTTTCCAGGGTAACGAGAATTCTATTCCTATGGAACTATGTTCAAACTGTGAGTATTGTACTTGACGTACTTCTATAATATCTGTCCTTTCTGGTTCTACTCTTATTTTGTCTTTTCATTTAACACTTAAATAACTGCTTAATTCTTGCCTAAAGTGTTTTAGTCATTTTAATGAGTAGCTTAAACATTATTACCTACTTAAATAAATTCCCAATTTAACAATTTCAATTGACAGTAATCATATACCTTGTTGACAGTAATTTCTTATATGAATTCCACAATAATCGAGTAATTAATGCTTTTGATGTACTAACATATAGCTCTGTGGCTAACACATGTGCTCACCCCCAAATGACTAAGTGCGGTCAATCGAGGACCTCTAGTGTCCGTTTGAATGTATACCATTTAGGGTGTGCAAATAAAGCATAACAAGAGGTTTGTTTTCAGCGCGTGTAAACTGCATTGATTTTAAGGTGGAGAACTGTGAGTGTCGTAGTGTCACTCGCCTCCGATGTTCATCTACATGTTAGAGTACCGCACGCACACACATTAGCGTCCAGAACAATTTTTGTGTTACTAATTAGGATGATATAAATTACTAATTGGAAGTTGAATGCAGCCATCAACATGACATCTGTCTGGCATAGAGAGTGGCTTCAGGCTGCCCATACATGGCATTTTGTTGCAGCACTCTTTTTTTATAAAATTATATTTTCTCAGGCATCAATATGGAAAAAGTATTTTGTTTTCAGTATTTCCCCTACTTTCTTATATTTCTTCTTTATTTTAATTATATTTCAGCTTCCTGTAAAATCCGGATTATTGTGCTATATTTTGCATAATTCCTCCACCTTAACTTAACCAATTCTGTAAAAAATTGTTCTGGATGAATTTACATGAGATCCATAGTTATGTTTTGTTAGTGCATCCGCGTCACAGCCAGCCTCTAGTTAGATTTTTTAAGCTCTGGATGTTAGAATGTTACATGTACTTATTAGGTGAGAGGAATCTATGCAACGGAGAGAGGTCAGCTAACAACTTCCACAAGTCTAAAGGCTTTATTCATTTCTACAGTGAACTTCATTATAGCATGTCTACTCAAGTTCTCTTAGTGAACTGAAGCATCAGCTGCTGTGCCATGTGTGGCTCTTGTGACGGGCACAAAACATTGAATTAAAACCTGAGGAAATCAGATCACACAAAATCCTAACATGGAACAGCAATTGAATAAGACAAAGTATGCTTTGAAAGACTTATGGAAGTTTTAAACGCCAATAATGTATGACACATTTAGGTGCAATGTATGTGTGCTTTTCTAAAATATGTGGACTAGTAATTCCAACTACTACACTCACATACATCTAATTTAAAATATGTTTGTAATCACACCTTGAGTTAATAAACAAATAGTGTAAATATTTTTTTATGACCAGTGTTGGCCTGTAACTAGGTACTCGATACTTGGCAATGGCTTCTCTTGCCTGGTATCTATCACTAGTTTAATAGATGGGGAGTATAAGATGATAAACCCTTAGCAGTGGTCAGTGGTTCTAGAATGTGAATTTGTTTTCTGTTGTACAAACTTAGTAAACATGTTGGCCTATACCTATATCATCACTTTTTTTTTTAAGGGGGGAAAATCATCTTATGACTGCTCTGGCCTGGTTAAGGCGGGAGGGAGTGTCGAGACTCTTACTGACTAAAAACCACCCCGTTCCTTCTCCTGCACGTCGTGCCGGAGCCCCGGTTATCCGTTAGGTTCTCCGCGACACCTATATCATCACTATTCATTATAATTGCTGGTATTATCAATCAACTTAAGAGGTGTGATTACAAATGGGAGTTATTGAAGTTGTTGGCGTGTATTGTCTAGAATTATTAAATCCATAATATTTGATTTGTTGCCACTGCCAAATCTCTTTCGTACAGATGTCGGGCATGAGATGTCATTCGTCCAAATTCTTTAGTCCATTTCCACTAAATTGAAGACTATGTGTGTAGCTTCAATATGTTGTTAATGAGTGTTGTAATTAAATGTGTTTCGGCAACTGCACGACCAGTTGGTTCCTTGCGTCTGCTGAACAGCGTTTACTCGCTACGGGTTTTCAAGCAAATTTTTCAATCCAAAAAAATCTTGAAACTGTAAAACCGATTTTGATAGAACTTAGTGAACATACGTAACAGTCCAAAATGTTACATACGAACTTGTTAAAGTCGGTTCAGCAGTTTCCATGACTTTTTTATGGGATAAGCTGGTAAACTGCCTCGTTGGCCGAGTGGTCGCAATTGCTGCAAGGGGTTCGATTCCCGGGTCGGGCAAAATATTACTGGGTTTTTTCAAAAAATCTCAGTAGTAGCACGGAGTCTGGAATTGTGCCCGGTATATGGCAATAGGCTCACCCCCTATTACATGGGACTCATAACATAAATAGTGAAAAGTGGGTGTTACATTTAGGGTTGCCACCTTTTATTTTGGTATTTAAAGTACATTGACGATTATAGGTAAGAAAAAAAGTACACAGTACAAAAATAAAGTACAATTTATTCTTATTTAGTATTATCTTTAAAAATATACTTTTTATTGCTTTTTGCAGTTTGTATTAAATTAGTATCTTTACTAAACAATTGCATTGAAACACTAAACAATTGCATCTTTACTAGAAATTGTCTAAGTGGCGCTGGCGAGTGGCGAAATCGATTCAACATAAGTCGATAAATATCGATATCGAATTTTGCAAAAATAAAGTATTTTCGTGTACTTTATTATTCTTATAAAGTATAGAGTACAATTACCTTAAATAACGTACAATACTTTATTATAAAGTACGGGTGGCAACCCTAGTTACATTGTACAGTGGCATTAAGTGCCGTAATGTACACCTCTGCCTACCCCTTCGGGGATAAAAGGCGTGATGTTATGTTATGTAAGCTGGTAAACGAATAGACGGTTCACCTGATGGTAAGCAATCGGCGCCGCCCATGGACACCTGGAACACCAGAAGCGTTGCGTTAGAACTGCGGTACCGGCCTTTTGGGGATTAAGAAATAGCGGATTTTTGGGTATACAGAGATTGGGCAGATTCGGGACGGAGGATTGGTTCTTGGGCCTTCGGTAACGGATGTGGACGGTTTTCTGTGAGGCCGTGGTATCACTCCAGTCCATGCTTCGGCACTAATGGGCCATTCGTGCTGAAGCATGGCTCTCCCACACTTTAATTTTGATTTGAGAGTTTGAATGAAAATCCGTGCCGCCATAATGCTCTGAAGGAGAGCAGCCTGTGAAATGTTGTTAATTGAGTATGGACTAAGAACTGGATGGTTGGCTCCCGCTCGGACACTGGGTAGCGTAACGGCGTGACGTCGTCGGTGCCAAGCCACGGCTTGCTTCGTTGCGCTTGGTGTGGAGACTACGTTTGCCTGGTCGTAGATTGCTAAGCCTTCCTTGATTTTGTTCATATTACGCAGACTGATGTGCTGACCTTTTTCGTGGCTTATTTTAGTCGGTGTTGTGGGTCTAGGATGTTTAAAACTATAGTTTCGTCGTTCACCGTAGGGCTGCGCAGTCGTTCAATGTACAGGTGTGCGGTATATTCGAACACGTTTTACTTGCAGATAATATTCATTTTTCTCGATCAATATCATTTGTTAAATTACATTAATTAATAGAATCTAAGGACATAATAATGATTATTTAAACTTCAAATTCGTCTCTGCTGTTCCACCTTTATGTGCCGCTGTGTTAATCCCAAAAATATAAGAAAATAATAGCACTTCGATGGCTTATTTTCTTCAAATTTCGTCAAACATATAATATCCACTATTAAAAATTCTGAGTTTCGAAAATAATAAAATTTGTTTAAAGACGTTGGTCATCAATCTAAAATTATTGCCAAAGAACATGTTTTGACCGTACAGGTACTTATACAGTTCATGGCATCATTCAACTTAAGTTTGTTGTTATTATGTTTAAATATCAGTGCTACCTGGTCCGATACATTAATAACCTGCAGATCCCTTTAGGTTATTAAAATCCTTTCAATTTGACAAACCTAATCTTTCACGCGATAGGTATTCGTAACTTGAAGAGTGTCTTATTCTGAAACAAACTCCATAATATGAACCGCACCGCCGCGCCATTTAAAAAGTAGAGCAATGTTGTGTACGAATTAGTAAAGACGACAAAAGAAGTAGAGCAAGGATGTTATCCGAGGACGGAGTAGCACTAGTGACTAGATGGTACACTTGCTTGTGTAATGTCAGTGGTGTTTGTGTGGCGCGCGGCGAGCGGCGAGCGGCGAGCGCGTCCCTATTGTCCGACTACAATACCTTGTGTAGTAGATGTGTAACGTAGGTGTGACTTTATAATAGGTTTCTAATTAAATGATATGTATGTATGTCATGAGTAGATGTTAATTAATTATTGTTGTATTAAAATGTATTTTTTCACAATCTGGTGTTGCGTTGCATGTCTTTGCGCTACACATAAATTAACTACTTGCTCAAACAATGAAGGCTGAAGTCAATTGAAAGCCTCTTTCTTTCTTTCTTTATAATACAACCTTAAATACCTACAAATGGCTCTTCGGTAGATAAGTGCCATAATAAGTGTTACTTAGATCTTTTGGGAATGCTGCTAAAAGGGAAGTGTTGCATCGTTTTATCTGGGTGTCATGAGATGATGGTTCATTTATTTGTAAGAAACATACAGCACGCCATGGTGCGTCCACCGTCCGTTGCCGCACGCACAGATGAAGTAACGTGTTATAAAGTGTGACCGTGACGTCAACGCACTTGATTTTACTGCTAAATACACAAATAGCATAATCTTTACAAGCTAAACAAGAAAATACATGCACACGTCGACTTTATAACACCAATGGATTCGAAATTAGTATACCTATACATTATTTATACAATAAATGACGAATGATCCAAATGACACACAGACGAAAATGAATTAAGTAGGTATGTAGGTAGATTTTGATGAGCAATGTGTATTGTGTATATACACGTAGCGATGTGCGAGTGTGTCATGATTGGTCTGCCGCCGGTCCCTCTAGACTAGTTCCGCTCAAGTGTGTGTGTGTGCGCAGTCGACGCAGATGAGATCCGGCGACTGGGCAAGCGGTTCCGCAAGCTTGACTTGGACAATTCCGGTGCACTGTCCATCGACGAGTTCATGTCACTGCCAGAGCTACAGCAGAACCCACTTGTGCAGCGCGTCATCGACATCTTCGATGCGGACGGGAACGGAGAGGTAACGCACTCTATATCATTGTCTATCTAAACCAATCATTTTTTAAATGAGGAAGCTACTCCCTCTTGTGCTTTGAGCAGTTACCATGATAGAGTAAATTCTGCAGCTCTGTGCGTTGTTATAGGTGGACTTCAAGGAGTTCATCCAGGGCGTGTCGCAGTTCAGCGTGAAGGGCGACAAGCTGTCCAAGCTGAGGTTCGCGTTCCGTATCTACGACATGGACAACGACGGGTTCATCTCCAACGGAGAACTGTTCCAGGTATGTACGACGCAAACGTGACACTAGTGGTCACGGGGCAACCAGTGTGGTTACTGTGAGTGCGACCCGTTGCAGGTGCTGAAGATGATGGTGGGCAACAACCTGAAGGACACGCAGTTGCAGCAGATCGTGGACAAGACCATCCTATTCGCCGACAAGGACGAGGACGGCAAGATCTCATTCGAGGAGTTCTGCAACGTGGTGGGCAACACTGACATACACAAGAAGATGGTGGTGGACGTGTAGGCAGCCCGCGTCCGCCTCCTCCGCTCTAGCTAGAACACTATTTCAATTGGTGTCGGTCGCGTCGCTACTCCTATATTCTTCTTTAGGCCGAAGTCGAGCACATTGCAATTTTTTTCATTACTATGAGTGATATCAATTTAAAATATCAACTTGCTTGAAGCTCGCCTTTACTATCAAGTCGACATATCGTCCCATCGCTACTTTCAGACTAAGCTCCTAGTGTTGGCCGATTACCACAAAGGAGTTGTGATGTAGTAGTTATGTCGGAACCACACAATCTCCTGTCAGACGGCTCAGACGTAGATAAGCCGACGAGATAGCCTGGGCGAGCAGCGCGGCGGCGGCCGGCAAGCGACGCGACCGACCCGCGCTAGATCTATCGTAATACATTAAAACAAATCTATTTAACTTTAAGTAATACATACATTTTATTATAGTTATAAATCATTAGAGGATCTTTATCGTAGTCGAATCGGACGTAGATTTTTATTGTAGTTTTTGTTGCAGTAATTTTACTTTATTTTGTTATTTAGTATTTTATTTGGGCAGAGCTTGTAAGTTCATCATCGGTAGTTTGGGTTGAGGATTAGCGGACGGCTGCTGACTCGACTGTGTTGTACCGGAACTGTTCGTGCCAACACTGGGTGACGTCACTCGCCGCTGTCGTCAAGCCGCGCAGCACAGACGAGATGTTTAATATTAAGACGTAGAATGTATCTACTCCATGTTTAATACTTGTCCACTGACACCATACCAATTGACTGAGCCCTTTTCGATCGGACCTAACCGCTCCTCGGGGAATAGGAATGAACAACGATCATTGATTAGTGTCAGTGGACGTAGAGCTCTCGTAATAATCTCGTATAGGTACTCGTTACTACTATATAATAATTCTATACACTGATCTTATCGCCTTATCCGAATTTTATACAGTTAAAATTTTACGAAATTAGTTGTTTAGACGTAGCTGTGTATAAAGTATGCGTCACTCAGCCCGTGCCCTTCCCTGTCCTGTCTCACTCCCTCTCCCCGCAGGTCCTCGACGCCCTGAAATGACCGCGGCCGGCGCGCGCTAGCTCGCGTGCAAGCCTGGCTCGGTCCCACTAAAAGTGAATGTACAAAATATTCTTAGTATGTATTCGAGTAATTTTATTGTATTCATTATGTATCAATTTTTTGTAATATATTGTAGGAATGTTTCCGAGCTCATCTGTTCGAGACCGATTTATCAGTCGAAATATACATAGTTATTTATCATGCGATTTTAATTACGCATAGTTAATTCTTATAGTCGTGTGTTGTTTATAATATAATAATTAAGTCGTTTTACATGTTACCGAGTTGTCAACGGCACCTTACGATACTTTAGAAGCGAACGCACGTGAATCTTAATATCTAGTCACAGCTGTTGTGCATTATTATATGGATCATATACTTAGCTACTTGTTAGTGGGCCGACGCGCGACTACTCAGCACGAGACAGCTTGCCTGCATCTTCTTGTGCACTGCCGACAGTCTGGCTAGGGCTAATTCATGTTTGAAAATTACGTGATTTAAGTAGTAAAGTTATATAAATATGTCGCGATTTTTTTTTTCATAATAACATCAAGAGGTTTAAGTAATTCTAGCAATTAAATATAAATTTGCAAGTCTAACAAGTACCTAGTCAATGAGTGCTGTACGACGTATAGAGCAATATATTGTCACCTACGAACAGAACACGGCCGGTGGGCCATAATATCGAATCAATGAGTGGGCAAGTTTGGAACATATCTCTGTAGAGTGGGTGTAGGAACTGTTGATGCTGATGTCGTGTCGTCTGCTCATCTCCATCGGTAGGTAGCTTTACAAAGTCTACTCTAAATGAAACTGAACATGTTTTATTAAAAATTTTCAAATTTCAATGATTGTTGTTGTTTTTATTTATTTATTCTGACACATTCCCAGTTAACGTGGGGCCAGATGATTATGTCATGGAACATGTTACTGTGTGCATGACCTTTACACCACATTACCTATTGTTTTTATAATATATAAACAATATTCTACAGGCCAATGTTCAGCAGTGGCGGCCTCTAGCGGCTGGCATATTGCAAACAAATTTAGCAAGGTTCTGTGTTGGGATAATATAAATCTACCTAATATGTATTTCTACAATCAGCATATCTTTCTTGCTCTGCTGCATAGCTAACAATAAGTGGAAATGGTCAGTTATTATGCTTTCACATTGTGCAACACATTATGCGGTTGTTGTGGGTTTGATTTCAGCAAGGAATTATTTGTCACACAAAAGTTATCATACAGGAGAAAATCCCAGTGAGGTATTATAATAAGAACGAAATAATGTAGGTCCCTATAAATGGGAAATTCAAATGAAATATTACTAAGATGACATGTATTGTACAATTTATGAATATCTACATTATCTAACTTACATCACTAGTATAAACACTATACAAATCTTGTTGCTATTCCTAAGAGTTTGGTGTAGTCTGCTCCTTTAGAATGTGTCTTCTCTTTGAGAATGGTCCTCAGTATAGTGGGGATTGGAACATGGATGCGGTTGCCTAGTGGGGTTCCATTGTCATCTATTAGCACCACATTGTTACTGTCAAACTTGGGCACTTTAACATTTTGTTTCTGTTTCAAACCCACTAAGATACCTTTCTTCTTTTGACCCTTGATAGCTACCAACACTCTGTCCCCAATGTAGCCCACATCTGAAATTAATGACAAACAATTATAACTAGGCTTTGGTACAGCACACTAGTGTGTAATAGTGTACCTCCGCTACAATTTGTAATTAACTCGTCGAGTACCGTATTTATAGACACAATTAAAGAACAATAGGTTGCGGTCACTGGTGACCGCTTGGTGTTTGACAGTTTAAACAAATATAAGACTGGTCAGTGGGTTGTTTTAGGGGTAAACATTATGTTAGAACAAGTTCTTTCAAATACATGTGATTTGTGATAAATATTAACACCTATCATGATTCATTGATTGAGGCCACCCATTACAACAATTTGCTGATCACACATTGCAATTGCATTGCAATTTGGGAGTTTTAACAATCAATGGGAAGTGAGTACATAAACTTGATATTCTTTCTATTGGGTATGTCTGTCGTCTATCGTAGCAGATAAATGAACCGTCCACTAACAACTCTACCTTATATATCGGGTTGGATATGGGAAGATATTTATAAACTGAATGTTGCAGTAGGCAGTAAAGTGGCCCACAATATATACTTGTACGCAATATTTTATAGCAAAGAGGATTACTTACGTTTCTTGTTGTAAACACATATAACTTTAGGAGGTTTTCCTTCAGCCATGGCTCTTTTACCGATCTCCGAGTTGTCGACCACTCTTAGCCGGCTCAGGAGGCGCACCTCATTCATGCAGGCGGTGGTGTGAAACGTACGCGATGTTTGGGCACAATGTAACTTGGTTATCAGGGATTTAAACATTATGTATGTTTCAATTATTAGTGTTTATTTTAAAACACTTAAATATACTATGAGGTTAGAAATTACCATAAGATTCTGACAATACATAAATTGTAGTCTCTGTCAAAGCTATGACATTTCTGAAATTCTGACACAGTCAATTTGACTTTGACAGAGTGATAGATAAGCCATGAAACTAAAGGCAGAAATACATTCCGTAAAACTTGAAGTTTTTTTTTATTTATATTTAAATATTACATTTATCATCACAGGCACACCTAATACAATAAATGCAGTTACACATTATAAGTCAACTTAAAAATTACTATAACCTTCATCAAAATCTATTACACATAATCCCATAATAACCGTAGAAGAATTTAGAAAAAGAAAAACAATAGAACAAAAGCACATAAAACATCGATAAACTTACAGGCTAATATAGTTACACAAAACTATGCCTAATAAACGTAAACAACTTAAGTAATAACAAATATATTTTTAAAATCTATGTAGGAACTAACAACATAAATCATATAATAAATAGAATCAAATAAAGTACAAATCTTAGGAACTTAGTTATTATTAACAACAGCCTCGTATGCTACCTTTATGAACTCGTTGAGTGTACACGAGAATAATTACATCCGTACTGTCCGCTATTGCATTCAATATGCGCAACCCTCGCGTCATTGGTGCCTTCTGCAAGAGGTTCGTGCGTGCGCAGGGTACTACCAGCAACCGCGGTCGCCGCCTACGCCGCACGTACTCGTCTGGAACACACAGCCGTAATTTCTCCAGTACGGCAGGGTGGTGCGTTATACCTTGCAACACCTTAAATAAATAAGTAGCTAGAGCTATTTCACGCCTCACCTCCAGTTTGTAGTACTCTTTTTTTTTTTTTTTTTTGAGGGGGGAAAATCATCCAATGACTTCTCCCGCCTGGGTGAGGCGGGAGGGAGTGTCAGACTCTTACTGACTAAAAACCACCCCGTTCCTACACCTGCACTTCGAACCGGAGCCCCGGCAACCCGTTAAGTCTTCCGCGGCTCCGTATCGGCATCAGCCTTGTTAGGCCCCATCTGTGGTGGTCTGATGGCTCCTTGAGGCGCGCGCGGAACGCGACGCGCCGTACGCACGGGCCTGGTTCTGGTCGGGCGGCGAGTCACCCATGCTCGCCGTCCGCAGGCCCGTGCTTATGGTGGCCGGAGATCGTCTCGCGATCCCCGACGCCCGGAGTGTCTCTCGCGACGGCCGGGTCGTGAGGAGGTTCGTTCCCTCACGCGCTCCGCCTCCTCCTTAGCTAGCATGACTGCTTCGCAGAAGGAGGAGACGGCATCCCAGTCTCCCTCGCTCCGGACCATGGTCTGAACCAGAGCCGGACGCGAGAGGTCGCCGTCGCCGATCACATTCCTGAGGACACGGCGGTGCTCAGTCCACGCAGGACACACCACCACCGTATGCTCCACCGTGTCCTCCGGGTGATCCTCGCAGTGATGACACCCGGGCGTTTCCTCCCGCCCAATCCGAAACAGGAACCTACCGAAACTTCCGTGTCCGGTAAGCACCTGCGTCAGGCGGTAGGTGAGGACGCCGTAGCGTCTCTCAAGCCACTCCTCAAAGAGGGGACTTACCGCTGCAATGACAGCGAGCCCAGCCTTCGGTTGCGACAGTCGTTGCTGCCATTCCGCCATGAGATCACGCCGGAGCTCATCCCGCCACGCATTAATCTGGCGCGGCAGCGGAGTTTCGCCCCGGTGACGTGCCTCCGCGCGCAAACAAAACACGCGCGCGAGCACCTTCGCCTCCAGATCCCACGGCGGTAATCCGGCAAGGAGGTTCGCCGCCTCCCCGGAGATCGTGCGATATCCGCGTATCAATCGGATCGCCATGACCCTCTGTGATGTGAGCAGCGCCCGAGCGGGCCGTCGCATCAGGTTCGGCGCCCACACAGGGGCGCCGTAGAGGGCCATGGACCGCACGACCCCGGCGTATAACCTCCGGCAGGACGCGTTTGGCCCCCCGAGGTTGGGTAGGAGGCGCTTAAGCGCCGCCCCCGTCCTTTCCAACTTAGGAGCCAAACGTCGGAAATGCTCCACGAAGTTCCACCGACTGTCGAGGACGACTCCTAGATACTTCATCGTCGTCTCGACGCCGATGGTAACTCCTCCCGCCGTTAATTGGGACTCACCCGGAGGTGGCGCGTTCCCGCGGCCATGAAAACACATGGCTTCGGATTTGTGGAGCGCCACCTCGAGTCCCAGTTGCCGGATTCTTTCAACGAGTTTGTAGTAACCTACCAACCATACCCAGTACAAACAACGTTGGATATGGTATTGGGTATCCAGGGTATATACCGTACGATTTTGTATAAACGAATCTGGCAAACTTATTTTGGATACGTTCTATCATGAACTTATATTTGTCCTCATGTTGACATAACAAGGATGGATGGATGGATGGATGGATGGATGGATTTTTTTTCCAAGCAAAAATGTGCATAATCGATTTGAAGATTGGGGACGGATACTGCTGTAGGTACTACGCTACGTCTGTACTGTGCTACGTCGCGTTGTTTCACGTTCGTTGTCAGTTGTCAGTGAGGCCGTGGTATCACTCCAAATCAGGAACTGTGGACCGGATTTTAAGATTATGTATTGAGGACTGATTTGGGACTGATTAGGTACTGTTGTGCAAACAGAGCTTGGCAAAAAATAGTTTGGTATAAGTGAGGTTGCTATTGTCGTACCTGTGTCAACCTGGTATGTTACGATTAAATCGGTTTTGGTATTTGTTATTTTTATCGAGTTTCATATGATTGATTGTGATTCAGTCCAAATCAATATTAGTTGTAGCTGTCACAGCATCACTCTTTTTTGCCAAGGTGGATATATCATTAATTCATATGCGCAATAGGGTAGATGCCTAATTTTTATTTCAATGTCCGTCTGGTAGATTATTTTAAATCATTAAACACGTATTTTTTGTTTTCTTACAGAAACGAATACTTTCGATGATAGGTTTATTGATTTGAAATGTAGCTTGACGTCACTTGTACATTTTATACGTAAAAATGACGTTTCAGCCCCCACTCCTGTCGCGGAGAACCTAACGGGTACCCGGGGCTCCGGCTCGACGTGCAGGAGAAGGAACGGGGTGGTTTTTAGTCAGTAAGAGTCTGACACTCCCTCCCGCCTCGCCCAGGCGGGAGCAGGCATTCGATGATTTCCCCCCCCTTATAAAAAAAGCGTCCACTCCTAAACTTTGATTCGTTATATCTAAGTATTGTTGTATTATACGACAAAATAAAAAAATACGTGTCTAATATTTTTTCATTACCTAACTTACGGATTAATTATATTTTTAATTTTTATACCCTGTCTTCATCCCAATTATGTAATTGCATAATGTTTTATTTAATACCTAATATGTTTTATCAAATAAAATTTTAACCGTTATTTATAGCTCAATATGGGCTGTAAATAGCAAAACATTAAAAAGATTTTTTTAATTTCGCGGTGGACCTAAGAAAACATCTGTCTAACACACATTTCTCCCCACATTCATACACACTCGCCAACATGCACTCTCGTCCATAATTAAGCTCTTTAGCGTTATGCGTTATCAATCACGCAAGCTAACTGTCCCATGCGGTATCTAACTATCGCACCACGTGGCAACTACAGTAACTGTCTCATCACACACAATACGTGCACTATCCACTCCATGGTCACATCAATCCATGGTTATTGAATCATGCAGTTAATACTTAGTAAATTGCGGATTAACTAGTCCAAGACTTAACGTGTGATTAAGTTTGGAATGGGAGATTTTCACGAATTCTATTTAGTCACTACAACGCTGAGTCTCGGCTCGGTCTTTGTCTATTATATAAGTAATAACTAGCTTTTACCCGCGGCTCCGCTCGCTTTAACTGAAATATTAAACACGAGTATCTTTGTTAATTTCTTGAGTTTTATGTTTGTGTTAACATTGTTGATAGACTGCTTGCTAATAAAATAAGTAAAATAAAAAAATAATGCAATTCATTTAGTTAGGAGTAGGTAGGAGTGCTAGGACTCAATGAAGTATTAATATTTTTAATTTGTTGAATCAAAGGGTATTGATTACAAGGTGACGGGCGCTGCGTATTGATTGCTCGTCGTTCCTGTCCTAACGACACGGGCTCGGCTCGGTTACATTACAGAGCGCGGCGCGTCAATGATTAAAGGCGGTAACCCAATAAGGAGCGGATTGCGGCGGTTATCGGAAACAAAACAAAAGAGTGCGAGCTCGACTTACGTCATTAGGGGCGGCAGCGGGACGCGACACCTCAACTCAATGCTTTTAAAGACGTTCCTTTATCGTCCTTATAATGGTTCGTTTTCGCGTTCGTATCCGCCACATTGTGCTGCTGTCCAAACACCCGCTCCCCACTCGTTTGTTTAGCTGATGGCGCTGGTGGTGGCTGCCTGTCACTGCCTTTTATTGGGACAATAGGCACAAGCTTTTACTAGAACTATTAGTGAATTATAGTTTAATGTTTTGGTATCTCATAGCTTCGGATTAGATTACGATGCGTAGGTACGTGAGTGCTACATGAGTATTTCTATTTTGCAATTAAGAAGAAAAAAAATGCTTGAATGTTTCTCGACTTTCTTACCAGGTACCTGTCAGCTGCAGCAGATAAATTTTCGGTAAGTATCTAAGTATATTAGTAGTATTGCTGCGTGTTTCAGTTAAAGAGAGCTTTGGTGCAAAGCAATGGCTGAGTGATGCCTCGGTCCTATAAGGAACACACAAATGTAATATTTCCTTGTTTGATGAAATATACCTAACCTACATGCACATAGGACTTTTACAGATGACAATAATATGAACAGATGCCATTTACAAAAGATAATAATACCTAAAGTACAATATTAACGAATGACTTTGAAATCGCCGCTGTCTACGGTAAATAATAATTGCAAATTAATATAAATAATTATTTCACACATGTTAGTGCTGCATAATATCAA